ATAGATAGATAGATAGATAGATAGATAGATAGATAGATAGATAGATAGATAGATAGATAGATAGAATAAATTATAGAATGAAAATGTTAGGCTTACTATCATAACATTGGAATTAAGAGTTCATGAATCATCTTTAAATCCTTCCATTCAAGAACCACTTTTGGTTACCCTGAGTTTCCATCATTTCAGAAAGAGTCAGTTGGGTGTAGTATAATGAATGGCAGTTATTAAACAAATAAAAATCAGAAAATTCTGCAGAACTTGTGTGCATGCTGCTCTGAAGCACCTTGTTGTACTGTTGTTGGTACCTCCTCACCCTAAACATGCATTTTTCTGGGATCCCATTGCTAGCTTGCACAGCTTCCTCCAGGAGATGCTGTGGACACGGCAATGAGAAGACGCTCCCGAAGAAAGTTCTTTCAGATGACAACAGTCTATCATGCTTCCTTGTGGTTGTATTTTACATAGCTGGTTCATGTGTCTGTATATGTTCTTGCCTCCATCTAGGGTTTACAGGGAATTAGAGGGCCCCCTGGCCCAGCTGTAAGTAACTTTTATACCTAAGCTGCTGCAGCCCCAGAGTCCTTGACTGTGGTTGGCTTTCTCTGCCCACTCGCTTTCTTTTTAGCGCGAAATGAACTGCTCTCCTTGCCGTTTTGTGAGGCCGTCCAAAGCTTGCTTCAGAGGTTGCTCTGGGTCTCACTAACTCTTTGGGTCTTTGCCTTGGATCTTTGCAGGGCTTGCCAGGTTTCCCTGGAGTTCTGGGCAGACCGGTAGGTGCTCCTCTCCCCTTTCCCTCTCCTGTATCTCACCCACATCCCACCTTGCATGTTAGCACAATGCGTCTTCTTACTAATCGTGGGGTTAGGAGGACGAGGTTGCATTGCAGGGCTAATTAGCATGGTCAGCTTTGCTAAAGGAAGAGAGAGACCCTGGCATGGTGACCAAACCTGGGTTCAACAGAGGGACCCAAAGCAAACCACTTAAGTTCTTTTTTCGTTTGTCAAATGGCAAGATGCAATAATGAAGCTCTTGTAATATTTTTAAATCACTTTGTGAAAGGAATGAATGTATAATACCAGTAGTAATAAAATATTATGAATTACACACCAGTGTTTAATAATAGCAATAATGCAGCATAATATATGTGTGTGTACATTTATTTCATAATATTTTAATATTGATATATTATTTTAGAATTTAAAACTGAAGGATTATAGAGCAACCAGGAAATGGCAGTCACATATTCACTCAATGATTCAACTAGCTATCTCCATCCTCCTATTTCACCCAGAAAACTGACATTTGGACAGTAAATCTTGCAAAAGTATTGCTGTCATGTATACAAATCATTGTGACATAAATGAATGTACCATAATTTCCTACAGTATGTTCTCTCTATATAAAGATAGATGTCACAGCAAAAATGAGTTGATAAAAATGACTCTGAACTTGCTCTTAATGAGTTCACCAGAACAAGACGTAAGGAGGCTCAAATAATTATTCCAAACCTGTTATCAGCTGATATTATTAAAAGCTGACATTGTAACAATTAGATTTTAATAGTAAATACTATTTGAATTTCTAGAATAATCAACATTTGGTTTTTCAGTGATCTGGATTGTATGGAATGGGTAAGGATCTCATTTGAAGTCAAGTATGTTTTATGGACCTTCAGTTCTAAAAAAAAAAAGAAAGCTAACTCAGATGTGTATCGGTACCACATCTACCACTGATAATGTCTTTTCATTTCAACAGGGAAATCAAGGGGATCCTGGACCACAAGGCCCTCCTGTAAGTAAACCTGGTTCTTTTCTTTTAAAAGTATTACGCTACAGTACTTAGAATAACTTTATTGTCACTTTGAATGTACACTAATTGGCATACATTAAAATGAAATCTCATTGCCTACAGCTCTCAAAGGGTCTCCACCTCCAATATACACTACATAAACATAACAAAATAAATAAATACAAAATTATGCATATACCCACATATATTATATGACGTGGAGAAACAACACAATCTAGATCAGATGTATACATGTACGTGGAGAGAGAAACAAATCTTGCATATTTACCAGATGGATGACATAGGGAACAAAGCTGTTATAGAATCTTGTAGTCCTGCTAGAAATACTTTGAAGCCTCCTCCCAGAGGGGAGCAACAGAAATAGACCGTAAAGTGGGTATATGGGGTCTCTAATAATGCTTGAGCTCTAAGCACGTGGCGCTTATAAGCATTATCCTGAATAACGGGTGTTCTGACTTAGGCTTCCTTAGAAAGCATAGAACACAATCTTAATCCTGGTAAAACCTTTTTTATTTCCACAGTTGTGAATTACGTTCATTCACAAGGCTTCACATACAGTCTTTTCAGGGGAATGTTGATAAATACCCACCTTATCACATTTGGAATGTGGCCAGAGAACTAATTGCCAGATGCAGGGCAAAGCCAAACTTGACACAGAGTCAAACAGGATTTTTCAAAGCTTGTGTTCTGAGCAAACAAACTAATTGCTTCCTGCAAAAGTTCACGTCCCTTTCACTCCTCTTTTATGTCCTACGGGAGAAGCCAATCATCTCAGAGGTGTGGCCTTACTCCTGAGTCGACCCTGCTTTCTCAATTGTTCTTGTCTTCTGCTAGCTCTGCACATGGGCAGGCTGGGAACCAGTTCCATAAGCTCCCCCACCTCACTGCTGTCTGAGTCTGAAGGCAGCTGCTGACTGCCAGCATGCCCTGGCCCCATCTCTGCCTCTGATGCAGCGCCTTCCTCCAGATCTTCCTCAGCCTCCAGGCCCAGCCCAGGTTCCTCCCCAACCTCCTCACTACTGTCCGACTCTGCTGCCAGCTCTATCAGTTGCCAGCGGGCCATAACAATTGGAAGCGAGCTTCCTATAATCTTCTCGGCTGTCCTTACCACTCTCTGTACAGACTTTCTATCTGAGGCACTGCTGCCACCAAACCAAACAGTGATGCAGTTTGTTAAAACGCTCTCAGTCGTGCCTCTGTAAAAAATGGCCAGGAGAGGAGAAAGATGTGCTCTCCTCATCTGATGCAGGAAATGCAGTGTCCACCTAGTTGAATAGATATAAGAAAGTTTATAGAAAAATTTGGGTCTCCCAGTGTATTGGATAATCTTATAAGATGTTGGAATAGGCTCTTAATAGCAGATAGCAGGCCCATTTGGTCAAGGACAGAATGGCATGCATTTAATGGATGATTTCTAATAAGTTGTCTCTGCAATTCTTCGCCAGTCTTGCCATTGTCTCAGAATTGTTGGGCTAATTTATCAATGCAGAAACAATGGATAAAGCTTGTCTTCTTATCACTAAAGGTTCACTGAATTATAGATTGTTAAAGCAGTAAAATGTTGGTTTGTTTAAGGTTCTTTAGTAACTGAGGTTTTGAAGTTTTGTTCAGGTCAGTAAATAGACAGTTTTGATTGAAGTTCATTTATATAGAAATGTACATGTCTTAGGGTGGTGGGACATTTTTTTTTGTTCCATCACCCTAAAAGCAACCTTATCTTTTCAGAAAATGCCAGCAACACAGTAAAGACAAGTTAGCACGCTGTATACATTATTTGAATTAACTCAATCATACTTATGCTTTGACTGCTGGAAATAATTGTCTTTGGTTTTCCTTCAGGGTCCTATTGGCCCACCTGGCACTCAAGGCTTACCTGGAATAAAGGTATGTGACCTGATTTGATTGCTGGATAGGGAATTCTGGAAGTTGAAGTCCACAAGTCTTAAAGTTGCCAACATTGGACACCCTTGTTCTAAAGCTTATGGAATCTTCCTTCAAAATAGTAGCATTGAAAAGTCAGAATGCCTCTCTAGTCTGTTAACTAATTGCCTTGTAATAATAGCTAAACTATTTGCTATTTCAAGCCAAACAAGATGTACCTAAGACATTTATAACAGTATTTATACAACCACCCCTTTCCTATAACCTTTCTGAGAAGTGGCAATAAAACAGTAAAGTGAGGTTTGATTTACATTGGACTGTTCAGTAATAATCAAGTTGTTTTTCTAGTGATAAAGTGAAGCTTCCTGTTTCTTATAAAGTTTACCCTGTTATGTGTGTGTCAATTGGTACAAGATTCCCCACTTAGAATCCCAGGCTGGCAAATGTAGTTTCCTATCTTTATTCTCTCCTAGTGTCCTATGCAAGCCTTGAACTGATAGAAGCAGAAAGCAAGTCAATTAGTAGATTGGGAGTTTTATTTGTATGTTAAAAAATCTTCTACCAATACCCAAGCTAAAGACAAAGATCAGGAGAAAATAGCGAAAATTTGAAGAGTTTAAAGAGAGGTTGTTTACCTTGTAAATTATCCCAATGCTGCAAGCAACTAGCTTGAAATGTTTGGAAGGTGGAATTCTAGAGGAAGTCCAATACATTTTATAGATAAGGTGCTAGAGAATTCCATAATAGCCAATCCAAACTGAATTGAGCAAGAATGTGAGGCTTTGTCTAATTAGAGGAGTTAATGGCTTTACCTTTCAGGAGATATACAGATCTCCATTGTCTCCTTACCTAACTGTGTTTTTTAGAGTTAGAGTGTGAGTCATTATTCTCAGGTGGCTAACAACCTGTTGACTCTCCAGGTACAGGCTAAAGTCTCCTTTTTCAGCCTCAGAATCAGAGAAGTCCATAACACCTGAAGACCATCTGTCTGAGGAAGACATATCCATCACTGCCCATTTTCTCTTTTTGGTAATCTCCTTATACCCCTCAACTCTGCTCCAGGATCTTTGTCCTGACCAACTCTGGAACCAAATCTTTAGCAGCCAGAGCTGCTTAGAATCCATTTTGGGTCACTAGTCACTATCCATTACTTCTTTCTTCGATCTCTGTCTTCTGTCCTCCTTTTTGGCAGAACATCAGCTCTTCTTTCCTGTGAGTACATTTCTGTAAGAAAATTTTGTTCTTCTCTTGGTATATCAGCTAAAACTATACATACATACATATATATATATATATATATATGTATGTATGTATGTATGTATGTATGTAAGTAAGTAAATTCATGCCACGTGGTTGATAATATTTAGTTGCTGCATATAGGTTTAATATTTTGAACATAGAATAGTTCTGTATTTTTGTTTGGAGGAACCTATCTTTGGGAACAAAGCATACATACCTATGATATCCTATGAACAATATTATTTCTAAAGTTTAGCACAGAATTTATAATGTTATGCTATGTGATTTACCTCCATTATCTTCTATAGAAATTGAAACATTCGAAACTCAAGTTTTCTCTCAAACACAAGTAATAATGTGAAATTTTCAGTTTTTATTTGTTATTTACAGGGAGATGTAGGAGAACCTGGATCCAGCACACGAGTAAGTATTGTTTTAGGTTTCCCAAACACACATTGTAGTAACTCAAAAATGTTGTGGCCTGCTGCTATTTTGAGGATCTGTCCATTATAAAAAAAATTATGGACTGTCCTCAACTTATGACCACAATTAGGACAGGAATTAAGCAAAGCAGTTGTTAAGTGATTACATTACATGACTCAACAAACACAATCCCAGCACTCCCAACTGCACTCATTAGTGATCTTTCAGGTCGTTCAGTGTTAAGGATTCTGGGGTGCCTCAGAAGAGGTGGGGAAGACCCTGTGGGTCTCCACTCAACAGCTGAAAAGCCTCCCTGCTGAAATCCAAGCAGGATTTTCAACTCCGAGCCTCAAATACACTTGCACACAGGCTGTACTGGGTCTTCCCAGAACCTTCCACATCCCCTGAGGCACCCCGTGCTCTTTTCTTTACTGTGCTTTTTCTGTGTCCAAGAGTTGAAAACCTTCTCCGCTGAAATCCAGAGAGGATTTTCAGCCTCTAAGCAAAGAGAGACTTACATGCAGTCTGCACTAGGCATCCCCGTGCTTCTTAGCACGGCCTCTGCCCTTTCTGCTTGAATTTCGGCTCCCTCCCATCTCTAGGGGCTGACTGAAAGAGCTGCCTGCTGAAGGAGTTCAGTTGCTTCATGTGTGGAAGGGAAATTCTAGCAGGCTGCAGGAAGTTCAGGATTTGAGCTCCATTTCTGCATTCCACCAATGTGTTCAGCTCCTCTTGGAGAGCAGCTCCCTCAGCCAATTCCAAGAGGTGAGACGATGGTCTCTCAGCAGGCAACAGCAGCTTGCAATCTTTCCTGCCCCGTTGACTGGCAGGGAAACTGGCAGAGAAGAATGCAAATGGGGATCACATGATGGGGAGGTGCTTGGTAACCAGTTGAATAGGTTACCAAGCACCCAGATCATGATCACTTGAGCAGAGGTGTGATTTTGCAACATTTTTTGATGGCCAGCACTCTTTCTGAGCCGTTATATTATTGGACCATCGTTAGACAAAGGATCGTAAGTCAAGAATTACCTGCATGGATACATTTTCTGAGTTTCCCTTCTAACAACTGATATTTCCAACTTCTGGGAAAGGGTTAGGATGGAAAAGCCACACAATAGGTCTGATTGGATGCCTGTTGATAACTTTGATCACAGTGATATTGGTTTTTTTTTCCTCGTAGGGTATGCCAGGCCCTCCAGGAATTGTGGGATTCCCAGGACCAACGGGATCTTCTGGGCCTGTGGTAAGTTGCAAATATTCTGCTTTAGTCTAAGAGAACTATTAAATCCCTGAGCTGATCCATATTTCTTGTTGGGTTGCTTTTTAGGGTCCACAGGGCCCTCCAGGGTTACCAGGACATGTGGTAAGTTGCTTCTGCTCCTTCTTCTTCGTGATTGCTCAGTTTTCCAAGGGTCGTCATTTCGTACCCTGTATCAAATTAATGTTTCTTCTTAATGAATCGGGCTTTTTTTAAAAAAACAACAACACCATTTTTGATTTTATTTTACAACAAATCCATCTTTCAATTAAATAGTGTGTCAACTGGGTACATATATCTTGTGCAAATATTTATAATTAGAATACATTTCTTGCTATGATTACATTCATATTAAAAACTACTCACCTTATATATCTTATCATTATAACTCTCAGCCTTCAAGATTTTCTCCCTTTGCTTTGCATCTTTCGACTGTCATAAGTAACGGGGGAGGAGGGGGGAAAAGTATGGGAAGGGAACTGGAGGTGTTACAAACTAGAGCTGTATAAACTGGGGAGGGGGGAGAGTACATTCTTGCTTAGGTTTCTATTCCTTGCTTAGCTTTCTCTTCTATGCGCAGCTGCAAACCTTTATTAAAGTATGCCAAGGTCAGCGGACAGAAGCCTCATCACCACCTGGAGATGTCCACATGATGATATGCATAACTTTTAATTGGAAGAACCATTTGAACTATTGGGGGTGGGGACATTGCCATCACTTTATATGTGTGATTTACGCGCCTATTTTCTCAGATTCAGAATTCTTTTGTTGCTACCACTTGACTTCCAGTAAAAGATATCTTTTCTCTAATTAAAAGAGTCTAAGTATTTCTTTCTTGGATTTTGAATGGAGCACCAGCTGACAATAACAGTCTTTAATGTTATAATATAGGCTTTAATGTTCATATGAACTGCAACTATTTACTAGGGTGAGCCAGGGAAACCAGGTGTACCAGGAAGAGATGGAGTATCTGGAAAAGAAGGGGAGCCTGGACTGCCTGGGAAAATGGTATGTCGCTGTGTGAAACTGCACAATTCTTCTCGACTTAAGCAGTTTGGAGGCCATTGAAACTTAAGCAGTTTGGAGGCCATCCAACTCCATCAGATTAGGGCAGCTGTCAGAGTCGAAAGATGATAAAATATTGAAGCAGGCAGTGAAAAATACAAATACAAAATGTATACAAATACATGCCCATCTGAAAAAAAAGACAATTCCTCAGACAAATAGCACTTAGCACTTAGACTTATATATCACTTCACAGTGCTCTCTAAGTGGTTTTACAGAGTCAGCCTATTGCCCCCAACAATCTCTGTCCTCATTTTACCCACCTCAGAAGGATGGAAGGCTGAGTCAGTTTTGAGCCGGCGAGGATCGAATCCCTGACAGGCAGCAGAATTAGCCTGCAATACTGCATTCTAACCACTGCACCATCAGGGATGCCCATTCTTATCCAAGACCTGGGAAAAGAGCTAGGTTTTCAGAGATTTTTTTTAACGTCAGTGGGCTAAGAGCATGCAAATCTTGGGAGTGGGGATGTTATTTCAAAGAGCAGGCATCCAACAGAGAAGGCAGAGCTCCTGGGTGCCAATGTAGTACATTGTTTAAGGGAGCAAGACTACATCCACTCTGCCTGATCATACAAGATGGGCAGAAAACATTAGACATAAGCAGCCTTGCAACTTGACTTTTAAAACAAGAGTGACACCAAAGATAATCTCATATCTCACCCAGGGGATAGAGAGAAGGGTAGCATGTACATTTAATAAATAAATGAATCTGAATATAATGGGAAATGTCTCTAAACAAGGGCGCATAGGATTGCATTGCCAGTGTGGGATGCAGCAGCCTAGCGTAATCTGTGCTTCTGTCGTCCTAAAGGGAAAAAATATTTCTGTTAATTGCTTTGTAGGGTATTCCAGGGCCTTCAGGACCTGCTGGTCCTAAAGGGGAGCCTGGAGATGCTGGGTCCCCAGGACAGGTGAGAGGCAACCTTTCCTTTCTTTATTCTTGATGGATAGATTACAAGGTTTCTTTTTGCTCCTTCTCTGTTTAGTAAGTTTTTAAAATACATTTTTTGCTTAAGTTTTAAATTATTTAAAAACCTGATGGCCTGTCAAAACAAAACAGGTAGTCTTCTATTTATGACCGCAATTGAGCCCAAAATTTCCGTTGCTACGCAAGGCAGCTGTTAAGTGAGTATTGCCCTATTTTGCAACCTTTTTTGCTATATTAAGTGAATCATTGCAGTGAAGTGAATCATGCGGGCATGAAGTGAATTGAGCTTCCTCCATTGACTTTGCCTGTCAGAAGCTATCTGGGAAGGTTACAAATGGTGATCACATGACCCCAGAACATTGCAGCCATCATAAATGACATGCTACTTTCCAAGTGCTCAGATTTTATTACGTGACCATGGAGATGCTGCAATGATTGTGTGGAAACCAGTCATAAGTCCCTTTTTTCAGTGCCATTGTAATGTCGAATGGTCACTAAATGAATGGTTGTGAGTTATGGACTACCTATAATTAAAGTCTGTTTTTCAAACCAAACATGTTTTAATAGCTCTACAATAATGGAAGACCTGTTCTATAATAGACCAAAGCCTATCAATTTTAGTATTCTGTTTCAGCATGGCTTGGCCAGTTAAATCCTTATAGGACATTTTCCAGCAGGTGATAAGTACAACAGTACCTTCCTACTCATGTTTCCAGTACTGGCTACTGAAAAGTAATATGACAATCTCAGCTAATAGAGGTGATATAATAGCTGTTATCCTCCATATTTGTATTTTTATTAGTTGTCTCCTAAGACAGATTTCATAAGCTTCATGCACTTGAAAAACAGATTTTTTGTAATAGTCGAGTTACATCATAATTGAATCAAAGTTCATCAATCAGTATCTTATTTCTTCTTAATCTTTTCTTTTAATACGTACTGTATATGTAACTATGTCAAACAATATAGGCCTCTTAAACATTTTTAATATTAGCTGTGTTGTGTGCTACTTTGATTAATCCTAAAATACATTATTTAGCGATAGTAATAGCAATAGCACTTAGACTTATATATGACTTTACAGCACTCTCTGGGCAATTTAAAGAGTCAGCTTATTGCCCCCAACAATCTGGGTCCTCATTTTAGTGACCTCGGAAGGATAGAAGGCTAAGTCAGCTTTGCCTAATATCCATTTAGCATGGGCTTTATAAAACTATCTTTATCTTAAGGCTCAGGAGGAAAAAATATATAGTGTGTGGGAACTGACAACATATTATCAAAACAAATCTCTGAAATGACCATGAGGTTTTTTGTTCTTTTCCATCATTTGTCAGGGGGTTACATGAACTAAGAGAAGGTATTGGAGAATGTTCCAGGTTTTCCATGTTGACAAAATATATTTTTCAATAAGTAAATAAATAACCTGGAAGCCTTTTTAATGGTGAATGTTGCAATGTATAAAGGGATAAATATGATGCAAATAGTTTTAGAATGGAAGAGATATACATATGTTGCTTTATTTCCAGTGATTGGCATTCTTTAGGAGAGATTATAGAACCACTGCATTTTGTGAGCAAACACCGGTATATGGAATGTATTTTTATTAACAACAACATTTTCACCCTTTGTTTTTCAGGCTATTGTTTGAAGTATGGAAAATATGATAGCATCCTAGGATTTCTTTTTCATTATTATATTGCTATTTCTTTCATTATTAACATAATGATAGGATTAAAAGAACAGTCCTTTATTATTAATTGCAGAAGAAAGTAGAAAAAGCAATTCATCCCTCTTTTTCCATTGACTCAGAAACTATTTAGCTTTTCTTAGCTATATCTAATTTATGCACTCATTTTTTAGAATAAAACTTTATAGCAAATGTTGCTTTGATACGATTTATTTATTCCTGTTAATCTTTCTTCTTAATCTAATTGATTGTTATAGACTATAGTAGGGCCTCCCGGAGTGAAAGGTGAGAAGGTAAGCTAAAAATCCATATAAATAAATACAAAAAAATAATATAATATTATTTGGGCATAAGAACTTACAAAAAATCGATTAACTATTCTTTAGTTGCTTCAAAATTTCCAGATTTTGGCTTATAACACCCTGCAAAGATTAATTCTTGATATTTATAGTAATTTTATTAATGATTATAATTATAATAGTACAAACTAAAAAAACGTAGAAGACTATAAAAGAAGAGAAAGGGCAGAAAAGAAAGAAAACAACAAAGTATATTAAAGACAACGAAAGAAATATATAAAGAAATGACTTCTCACTTTCATCACAAGTATAAACAATTTTAGTAACTTATTACCTCTTAAAATATAACAAATACTGTATTCTTTTCTTCTCATTTCCCATCTGTTATCTATAAACAATTTCATAAAGCCTCATCATTTCAGTTCTGATGTGTTCTGACCCAGGCTTAGCATAACCAAGAAACAGACTCCTTGTCCCCTCTTTATTTTCTGTGAATTCATGGCATTCACACACAGAAAAGTCCCAGCAATAATCCTTCCAAGGACTCATAAGATCTGCAAGAACAGACCTTATGAGTCCTTGGATAGTTGCCAGGCCAAGAGCTTCCAGTTGCAAAGCTGTAAATTAAATACCTGGCAAGGAGTCTCTGATAAGCAAATCTTCCAAAAGAAATATGAACTAATTGTCTCCTGCAACCACCACTCCTCTTTTGCTTCTATTTATTCCCCAGGGAGAGGCCATTCAGCGTCCACGTATGTCTTTCCTTCTTTGTTGGCCTCTGTTGCTTAATTGTTCTCCTCTCCTGACAGCTCTGCGCATACGCGCATCTGGAACAAGCTGCAGCTGTTATTCTTCCCCACTTATCTCCGACTCTGTAGGCAGCTGGGAAATGTCAGAGGACCCTGGTCCTATCTCTGCTTCCGATTCAGAGCATCCATCAGAGCCTTCCCCATACTCCCAGACTGGTCCAAGTTCCTCCCCAACCTCCTCACTATCCAAGTCTGTCACCAGCTCTGCTGGCAGCTGGCGGGCCACATGTCAGCAAAAGTCCAGCAAGGCTTAACAAAGATAACAACATATGTATTTTAATCTTGATCAAATAAATCACAATTTATTCTGCCTTCATTCTGCCATTTCTTCCTCCAGAAGCCCCAAAATAGTAGCTCTTGAATGAAAATTTGATTTTATGATGTAAGAAAATTTTGCTATTGTGTCTTATTTGAAACAATAGCTTGCTCTTAGCAGGTTTCCCTGGAAAGAACTTATATTCTATGAATGTCTGACAAATAATTAAATTCTATTAAATAAAGTTGTGAATTTTGCACACTTTCTAGAAAAGCAAGATTATGCCCATTTGAATGGAGATTAATATATTGATAAATTTCTTCATGGTCTGTTGTAGGGTGAACCAGGTGATTTTGATGAGGAACTTCTGGAGAAGCCAGTAAGTTGGCTTTTCATATTCTTTTACATGCTTATTTCCCCCATTTCCAGGCAACTGGTTCTCAGGGCAAATATTGAGGTTGATCTCTCTTCTTCGCAGGGTCTCAAGGGTGATCGAGGCATACCAGGTCCACGTGGAGAGAAAGTAAGAAAACTGTTTTCCAGACAGGAACCTCAGTTCTCATTCTCCAGCATCTGTGAGCTTCACAGAAATATTTGTCTTTAATTCATTCTCAATGTTGACCTATCTAGATTATTTCTATATTTTTATAATAGGGTAATCTTGGAAGTCCGGGGATTCCTGGAGATCCTGGAGAAGATGTAAGTAGTTTGGAATATGCAGTATAATAATTGTGTGACAGCAATGGCTTAGTAGAAATATAATACCCCAAGTGGGTTTTGGTCAGATGAAAAGATTCAGTTGTGAAGAGTTATGATATAAACATGAATAATCATTTTAAAGGAAGACATCCTAATTTGGTTAAATACACAAAAATATGCTTAATATTAAATCCCTCCCTCAAGAGGTATTTCAAAATAGAAACTAGACTGCAATATACTGAGACAGCTTATTTCCAACACTAAATAATTCTCGCGTTCAAAGGTTTTTACATGTTAAAATTTGATCTCAAATACTTTTGACTGTTTTCTCAGGAGATATGTTGGCTACTTGTTTTCTTTTTTGTTCTGATTTTGAAAGACTTCATGTGCCTTCTTCTAGCTTTACATTATTATCAACCATGGTAACAATAATCTATGATATGTTTCTGAATTTTAATAGGGAGCCAAAGGATCACCTGGGATCAAAGGAGAAAAGGTATATGGTGATTCTCATATATTTTGTTCTTGATTCTATAGAAGATGTGTGTTTAATTTTTAAGAAGATTAAATAATACACAAGATATTAGAGTGTATGTTTTAGTCATTAATTCCAGCATAGCATTCAGAGAAATTCTCAAATCACATCATTCAAAGTATCTATTAATGGGTAGGAGATCACAGTATGTCTATAAAAGAGCACTGAAGAATTGCTGTGTTTGTTCAGAATTATGTCATGAACCTGTTGTATTTTAGGAAGAACTACGGGAGTTCTCAGGAAGTGCAGACTGTTAGACATGTTCCACCACCATGATTTATTCACATAATTTACATATCTATGCATTACATTATTTTTTTCTTTCACTGTACTATTTAGGGTTTAGCTGGAATTGGCATCCAGGGACCTCCGGGACAGGATGGACCTCAAGGCTTAAAGGTAATTTCTTTTTCTGTGTTACTGTTCCAAAATGACTCCATTCTTTTCCTCCCCTTATTTCATGACACACTTCTAACTTCTTATTTCATGATATACCTCTCAGGACTCCTCATTTCTAACTTTTTCAGTACTGTTGTGGTGGACAGCTCCTGCCAAATTAAACTGCTGATTCTGTACAGTAGGACAGTGGTTCTCAACCTTTTCTTCACCATGAAGGCCCTTTATATACCTTTTGTGGCCATGGGCCATGACCCGCTAAGATTTAACTCAAGATTTAAATCATAACATTTCTTCAAGCCTTCACGGACCCCCTGTGATGACATGGTGGACCACAGGTCACAGGTTGAGAACGATTGCAGTGAGAGAATCCTGAGAGTAATTTCTTAAAACATACATTAGATTGGAGATTTAATTTCTCAGATTAACCTTTAAAAGTTAGAATTTCTCATTTCATATTGCATTCTATGTCCTATATATCATTCTTCACTTGGAGTTTTGGTCAAGTCAAGAAACATTTTAGTCACTGAATAAAATTCGATAATGCTCAAAATGGGGAAGTATATCCATGCATTTGTAATTTTTTCTTCTCAAATAATTGAGGAACAAGGAAAAAAAAGAAATGTGGCTCCTTAGCTTACCTATTCTCATGCCTAGACCCATGTGTTGTGCTTTATTTTCAGGGAGATCCTGGTTTACCTGGCCCACCAGGCCCACCTGGTTTGCCAGGTGCAGTTGGAACTCCTGGCCAGTCTGGTCCGAGAGGAGAAAATGGAATGACTGGCCAACCTGGACCTCCAGGAGAGAGGGTAAGGTTGATAATTGCTGTGGTCATCCAATCCCTTAGCCTGGTGTGTTCTCTGAATAAATGAATGACAACCTCTAGAAACCCACACTGAATTAGTATTCCATCACTGATCATTCCCCTTTTATGTGATCCTTTGTATTGTCCTCTCGTTCTGGATTTTTCCATAATGGTGAGTAGTGTTTAGATTTGTTCTTTATCTGAGTGCTCAGCCTATGTCTAAAGACAAATGTCACATTATTTAAAACTGATTAACTGGGTTTTATGCAGATGGGGAATCCCTGGTCCTTGAGGCAAATGCTGAACTCTATTCTTCCAATCTTTGTCCCCATCCTGTCCTCAGCTTTATTTTATTCCTCCAAACTTCATTCCATTCTATCCTCAACTTTAAAGTTGAAGAAACTAACTGTGCATAACTGATAGAAAGAGAATGCCTGATGTAAACGATGTTTTTACATAGTATACATTTAGATCTTCCCATATTTAAGTATGAGCCACCCGTGTGTCTGCCTGTACCACTGGAATGCAGACTCCAGTCTATTTCATTAGGAATATCACAAACAAGGCTTTTCCAGTCTGGTCTTAAACCTCTGGATTGACAGATCTTTTCCTTATTAGGGTTTGACTGGCTTCCCAGGGAGAGATGGTACTGCAGGGTCACCAGGACCACCAGGACCTCCAGGGTCACCAGTAAGTAACGAGGTGGTTGGAAAGTGATTTAATGAGGACTGTATGTACAGTCTGAATCAGATCCTCTGTGTTGCATTGCTACATGTTCATGTTCTTTGCTGTCTAAAATATTAATCTATTTTTTTTATTCCTTTCTCTCATGAACGCTTCCTTATAGGGTACTTCAGGCACTCCAGGAGTAAAGGGAGACAAGGTAAATTACATTTGTTTTTCTAAGATAGCTTATTCTAATTTTTGCTCATTCTACAATCAATCATTTCTTGGATTCATTTGTAATAAATGAAGTTTTAAACCTCAAAATATGAAAAGATTAAAGGAATTTTAAGAAGCCTCTATTATATAGCACAACTACTATTTCTAGAGAGCTATTCTTCTTTCCTTTCCTTTCCTTTCCTTTCCTTTCCTTTCCTTTCCTTTCCTCTTTCCTTTCCTTTCCTTCCCTTCCCTTCCCTTCCCTTCCCTTCCCTCCCCTCCCTTCCCTTCCCTTCCCTTCCCTCCCTTCCCTTCCCTTCCCTCATTCAATTTTGATAAAGCTTATGTGCCTAAAAATAATTCAAGAAAGATTCTGGAAATAGCAACAGGATCCACTGATAGGTTTTCCTTTTGTCATATTCTGCTTTTTAGGGGGACACAGGTATCGGACAACCAGGACCTAGAGGAGAACGAGGAGATCCAGGAACTCGGGTAGGCATTTTACACTGACTCTGGAACTATCTTAACATCATTATCCAGGTATAGTGACACTGTAGGGTGCGGGTTTGTAAAATAGTTTGCTTTACATTGTTTGAATGCAAAACTTCACAAAACTCTTCATTTCAAAATTTAATTTATTCGAGTACAAAATAGCCTTCTTTTTAGATTGAGATTTAGATGGAGTATTCCAAAGTTCACACAGTTTTCAGCTCTGAAGATTTCTTAAGTTTTCGAAGGCAACCCATTTCTCACTCAAAAAAAGAACAGTTTCAAACTAGATACTAAAAGAAGAAAAACTTTGACAAATCGAAGTCCGAAGGTTTGAAATATGATGTGTTGCATACTCTAATGCTGGAATTCTAATCATATTTGACCAACAACAAAAGAGGAGAGTACAGAACTAACTGTGCTAGATTTTGCATGATCTGAAGCAGAAAATGTTTAGCAGTACTGTAATATCTAGTTTTTCCTCCTATTAAGGCAAAGGATAGATATCTAAATTTTGTAAACTAAGGTTGGTTAGAGATTCCACTTCCCAATATAATTTTGGGCAAATTATATTATTAAAATATTCAAAAACCATTTATTATTTTTAAAAAAACATTTCGCCATTCAGAAAAGGACTGCGAAGCTTAAAATGTTGGAATAAAATATAAATGTTGGTGTGGTATTTTGGGATTTATCAGCTGGCTGAGTATTATGGGAAATTGCCAACTTTGGCTTGATATACAGTTGTCCCCCTCCCTGCCCCTGTTATTCTTTTGTTCTATGTGAATACTTCGTTTGTCTTTCCTCAGGGTGAAGATGGGCGCCCAGGTCTGGAGGGAGATCGAGGGCCTGCTGTAAATATCTCATTCAACCTTCTTTCCTCTGTTTGTTTGGTCTTAAGTATAGGCATTTTGCATTTAAGCATTCTATTTTGTCTTTAGGGCCCTCCCGGAAACAGAGGGGAGAGAGGTGACAAAGTAAGTAAGAATGGGGTGGGACAGTTGTGAGGAGGAATAGAACCCTCCTGCTCTGACCTATTTCTAATGCTGAAAAATAAAATCATTTTATTAATATAGTTTTAGCTTTGGAATGAACGAAGAAAAGTAACTAAATGTCTGGCATTTCCTGTTGCCAAGATCCTGTTATGCTGCAAATCTGAATTATGTCAAAACACATTTTGAATAGACAAAGAACCAGCCTGTAAAATATGCAGAATTACAGTGTCTCCTTTCCCTTACATTGCTTATCTAGCCCTTATAATAAGCTGGCTGCTTTTTAAGCAAGCACCCAGGCCACCATGAAATCAAATGAGTTTTCAAAATATCCCTACCAAAGTCTAATTCTGTAGATTCCTGGAGGTAAGGGCTTATTATCTTAGTTCCTGCTGTGAAGTGTTGTGCATTATAATTATTAGCATTAATATTAACCATCTATATAGTTATAATCCAACTGATCTAAGACTGCTATATCATTGATGGTAATAAATTATGTAAATTAATCTACAATTATACTTTTTTTTCTCTTAGGGCGACATTGGGCTTATGGGGCTGAAAGGAGACAAAGTAAGTATCCCAGTTTTAGAAAGATTAAGTTGCATTAGCTGGTGATACCTAGGCAGTTGCAAAATAAACTTTTGCTTGACAAGCCTTAGAAAACACATGAATGAACAAATAAACTCATCAAAGCAAGCCAGCACCTATACTACCCTACTGACAAAGTTATAGCAAATATATATATATTTTCATCTGGTACACATTATCCTAACCTTGAAATAAGAAATCTCCTAAGTTCTGTCTTTTACCAAATTGCACTGTTTGAAAGAAGAAGGCATTCAAACTCAATCACACACAGATTTTGCAGGCTACAGTTGCAAGCTTGAGTCCTGGGTCTCTCTGGGAAGGACCAGCAGAAATTATGACATGAATCTCTGATTATTTTCCTAGCTGTGAGATAACTGATTACTTTTCTCAGAATTGATTTATGGGTTGGTTTTTCCACAAAATATTTTACTATAGAACAGTTGATATTTGCATTACAGAAAAATTGCATTAGTTCAGAGCAGAAATGGAAACTGAACAATTGAGGTATTTAGATCTTTCTTGATTATCATATTTTTTCCAATCATAGGGAGATACTGTCGTTGTGGAAGGCCCACCAGGTCTCAGAGGGAACAAAGGAGAACCAGTAAGTAATATGGCACACAAAACTCTAATTTCTGTTGTAGTTAAATTGCATCACTCGCTTTTTATATACTTCCTAAAAATCAATCCAGATGCTCTTTCATAACAGCACTTCTACTTTGTTCTCTGGCCAATGATTTTTTTTCTCTTACATTAAATTGTGTCTGATTCTGCCTGGACAAGTCCTTGCAGTTTCTTGGCAAGGTTTTCCTAAAGTGGTTTGCCATTGCTTTTTTTCGAGGGCTGAGAGAAAGTAGCTGGCTATTTATCTGGCTCCATGCCCAAGGCAGGATTAGAACTCACAGTCTCCCAGTGTCTATCCTGGAACTTTAACCACTATATCAAACTGGCTCTCATTAATGATTTAAAAGGTGTATTTTTTTTCTCTTGCACTTTTCTAGGGAGAACGTGGTCTAAAAGGAATGGAAGGGGAGAAGGGTGACAAAGGAGATCACGGAATCATTGGAGAGAAGGTACTGGGGAAGATCTTTGGGTTGCATTTATTACGATAGGTGACAAATTTCTGTTGTACCGGGCAGGTAACAGAGCAGGCAAAGACCCAAGTTTTGCTGTATCCCGCACACATAAAGGAAGATGCTGGCTCCTCAAAAGTGCTAAAATTCTTTCTAAACATCCTGCATAGTCTAGAGCAGTGATGGCGAACATTTTGGCACCAAGTGCTCAAAGCGTGCGTGCGTCCCGCATATGTGCACCCCCCCGCAAATGAGTCCTGTGCATACCTTCGCCCCTGCACATGTGTGGTAGAGACCCCAAAACCAGCTGGCTGGTGGGAGGCATGCGCACATGCATGGTGGAGCAGAGCTGGGGCGAAGGCGTGTGTGCCCACAGAGAGGGCTCTGAATGCCACCTGTGGCACGCGTGCCATAAGTTCACCACCATGGCTCTAGAGGGACTGAGGGCTAAAGGAATCAGTACCTGTATTAGAGTGCAGAAGATAGTAAGAGTGAAGGAAGTTAGTAAGGTCAGTGTGATTGATCTCTGCATCACCTGAAAGCATTCCATATTGAACCTTTTCATCCTGCAGGTTTCAAACGTCATAGCTGAATTTTGTAACTTTTTTTTATTAAAGTGGGGGTCATGGCCAAAAGGCAAAATTAGACCTTTGGGCCTTTTCAAAGCTCACACCCACTCTTTGGAGATGCTGGCAGTTCCGGTGCTGCTGCAGAGTTTTCTGTTTTGCTCATTATGTTTTTGAGGTATGAAACTCTGCATATTGCCAGATATTTATTAAACTATATGAATATGTGTAGATCGCTACTGAAAAAGGCAGTCTCAGTATGCATCTAGTCCATCCATCTATCAAAACAGTAGGAACCTACTGGAATACAAGAGCACACAAGTCAATAGAGAATCCATTGAAAGCCTTATGCCAACTTACAGCATAATGAGAACTCTGCTTACAGCATGGAATAATTATGAATACTTTCTTTTTTTCTTGAGCACAGGAATTGGATTGGCATCTCTCTCTCTCTCTCTCTCTCTCTCTCTCTCTCTCTGACACTCATGTTTGCCTGTAATCTGCAATTTTAACTTAGGGAGTGAAGGGTGAACCAGGTGAGAAAGGATCCACAGGCTTCCCTGGTGCACGAGGACCCAGTGGGCAAAAGGTAAGAGATCATTTCTTCATTCACGGTTGCATATCTACTGGATGGTTTTATTTTCCTATCCAATGTTTATCTACTGGCTGTTTTGCTTTGCATAGGGAGAAATTGGTAAATCAGGAGAACCAGGAGAGCCGGTGAGTGCTTTTTACGTGTTGCAGAGTCTGCCTACGATTGTGCAGTTCCATGGTCAGAGAATCACATTGCCTTCATCTTTATTTTTCCAGGGTCAGTCTGGGAAGGATGGTATTCCTGGAACCAGAGGGGAGAAGGGAGAAATGGGACCTATTGGAATGCGAGGCCCAAAGGTGCGCTCGTGGTTATTTTTATGTTCTTGTAAGGTTAGGAGATTCTTTCCAGGCCATGTGGAGCTGATTTCTGTCACAAAGACTTGTGAAGCTGATGCAGGGAAGGTATCAAAGGAGTGGATAGCACATTAGCTCAGAAAAGAGCTACCTGTGTGATGGAGTCAGAAGCTACACAAAAGCATTGATGCTATGGATGTGCAGTGGTTAGAATGCAGCACTGCAGCTAATTCTGCCAATTGCCAGCAGATTGATTCTAACCGGCTCAAGGTTGACTCAACCTTCCATCATTCCAAGGTTGGTAAAATAAGGAACCAGAGATTGTGGGGGCAATATGCTGGCTCTGTTAAATCACTTAGAGAGGTCAGTAAAGTGCTATGAAGTGGTATATAATAAGTATAAGTGCTATTGCTATTAGGTTTAACTGCAAAAAGAGTAGCCTAGCCCTTATACTGACAAGGAAGTTAGATCTCTGCATGCCAGTTTGCATCACGTTTCACAGAAGATAAAACCTTGGACAGAGGTTCCGATTTTTTTTTTAATCGGGCCTTTATTTTACTAATTTCTTATGGATTTCAAAGTATTGTTTTATAAATTGTCATGGTAGGAGTTTTTGCTTCTTTAATGTTGCTTGTGTTATATTTGGTAGGGGGTTTTTGGGGTTCTTTGCTTTTCCTCTCTTCATGTTTTTAGGGAAAAAAAATCTAAAAATATGTACAATCAATAATCGGAGCTGTGCATGGCACTCATTTTATTTCTGTTACAGGGCGATCGAGGAATGAAAGGAGCCTGTGGCCAAGATGGAGATAAGGGTGAGAAGGTGATTGTCAGATTTACTCTTTGATTTCTTTGCATTATGAAACATTAAGTAAAAACTAAAAAGATTGCTTGGGGAAGAAGTAAAATACTGTACTTTGACAGACATTAAGGCAAAGGAGCAGAGGGTTTTTTTATGAAACATAATGGTTCTTACATCTTATTCCCTGATAAAAGAAGCCACCAATACAGAGGTGGTATTCAGCAGGTTCTGACCAGTTCTGGAGAACCGGTACCGGAAATTTTGAGTAGTTCAGAAAACCGGCAAATACCACCTCTGACTCGAGGTTTTACAGTTTCCTTCCCCTGCCATGCCCACCAAGCCACACCCACAGAACCGGTAGCAAAAAAATTTGAATCCCACCACTGCACCAATAGCAGGGATTTAGAAAAGAAGTGCATCCTTGCTTGAATATATCCTTGATGACTGAGATGCAAAGAATTATTTAGGACCACTAGGCAAAGAAAATTTGTTTATGTAAGAGTAGACTGGTATGAACATCTCTGCAGTGATTATTTTTCCAGTGGTGCTCTCTATGGAAAATTTATAGCCATCGTTTTAGAATGCACCAGCAAATGTGTGCAATAGAAGAATTCTGGGAACACATGGAGCTGTGCTGTCCTTAGAATAATTTTTATGAACTCACATAAATGATAAGGCAATATTGGGTCTGATAAACAAATATATGAAATGGCTCATAAACACATCCTTGTTTGTTCATTTAAGAGAACTTACAAAGCACTTCTTACTTGCTAATGAAGTGTTGGGAAGAGAATTCAATTACTAGAGCCGCGGTGGCTCAATGGTTAGAATGCAGTACTGCAGGCTACTTCTGCGGATTGCAATTTGGCAGTTCAGATCTCACCAGGCTCAAGGTTGACTCAGCCTTCCATCTTACCAAGTTCGGTAAAATGAGGACCCAGATTGTTGGGGGCAATAAGCTAACTCTGTAAACCATTTAGTAAAGCACTGTGAAGCGGTATATAAGTCTAAGTGCTATTGCTATTGCTATTAGGTTTTTGGCCATGCTGATATGATGGGAGCTGCCACTTGTTCTGAATCAGGTTGCAGACATATGCAGACACATTTATTACAACTAGGCAACTAACAATAGACAAAGTCATAAATCAGGGTTTTTGCAAACGGTGCTTGCCTGAATAATTCTGTTTGAAGCTCACAGAGCAAGATCACGGTCCAGTTTCATTCCAGGAGTCAAAGAGCCAAATGGGTAATCAGTCCAGTAGTCAAAGATTCCAGAGCAAGGAAACATAGGAACAGGAGTCCTCAATTGGAATTCCAAACAACTAATGAAGACTGAAGGCAAAGTAGTAAAATAAATCTTATCTGCAAACAGCTGACTGCAATTACTCAGGCCTTGCCCTTTGCCTAGCTAGGAGCCTCATCAAGTGACCTTGTTCTGCTCACTGATGTATGTGTCAAGACCTGGGGTTTCGGGGTCATGCCTCATCATCTAATTGCTCCAGCTGGTCGGGAGATGCCTGAGGTTGATCAACCTCAGATTAATCATGGTTTGATGATTCCTGAAGCTGGCAATCTACAGACTTGGTTACAGCAATGTTGACAGCATCGGAATCAGATTTTGAACTCAGTTGAGTCCCATGGTACAACTATTGTTCACAAGACTGTCCTGATCACATATTTAAAGTATCTAATTTAATCTCAAAAATAGAGAACTAAAAGAAGGGAGTTGAACTATCTATCCTTTATTTTACTTTACCTCTTTTGGATCCATCTTTCTATCCCAACTTCTACTAAGCAAGGCTGACAGAAATATGTTTCAAATTATGAAACAATCAGAGGCAAAGTGAGAGCTTATCTACTCTTATTTATCTTCCTGATTTGTGGTCGAAATAGGAGTACCTCTATTTCTATAAATAAATTGGGGCAGGGATATTTGGCTGTATTGAATGCTATTCTGTCCACTTGCTTTTTGAGAAGATAACTTTTGTTTGTTCTTAAGATGTATAATGATAATTTGGAATATTGTAAAAAAAACATAATGGAAGATGGGAATTGAAAATATACAGCCCTCTGAAAAGAAAATTGATATCAACATTAAAAAATAGTTTTTTTATTTCCACCAGCTTCCCTCAGGGTACATACAAGGCTTTCCTTCTTAAGGGCAGAATTCTAGACATGTCTAGAACTCTGGACATTTTCATAATCTATTCTGGGATACATAAATAATAACTTGGCAAATCTTTATCATAGCAAAGACTAAGCCTGTTGCAATATTGGTGTTTACATTTTCTTTTGCCTTCTCCTTTCCAGCTAAAATATTTTTCCCTTCTGTTGTAGGGAGACCCGGGGTTAACTGGCCGAATGGGCCTTACTGGAAGAAAGGGTGATCCTGTAAGTGTCTCAGGTTTCTTCTAATGGGGCAGTTGAGCAGGCCATATATTGGGACAGAATAGCCTATACCTTTTCTTTTGTTTTTCTAGGGAGAGATTGGCATGCCTGGGACACCAGGAATCCCTGGGAAAGAAGGCCTCATTGGTCCAAAGGTATAGAGTAATGAATAGATGTTATAATAATGTAGTGAAAATACATAATAGAATAGTATAGTGCAAATTTAACTGGAAAAATTCTGAGAGTTGAAATCTGCACCCCTTCACATTGCCAAGGTTGACAAACACTGATATAGAGTAATGAGCTTATATGGGAAGAAAAGAAAATGCTAGCACTGCAAATGAAAGATACATGAATCTAAGGAAGTTAATGGCCGATGTCAAAGATACCTGTACTGTGGATTTGGGGGAATGGAGGCAGCCCAGATTTGCTGTATATACTTAGCATATATAAAGTGACAGTAGATCAGTACTGAACTATTGATCAGTGGTGTGGGGGGGTGAATATCTTTTCTGAGAGAGGCTTCCTTAAACACCCCCAGTTCAGAGGTTGGAATTGCTTTGAAGTATTGTTGTCTATGTAAGATTTGAGCTTGGGGAAGGGTTGGGAATGGTGCTGTCTCCATTTTGATTGGTTCAATCAATCATTAATAAATCAGCCTTTGTGAATTCTTCTACCATGAAGTAAACTTTTGATTTATTTTTGCTTATGTAAGATACACATGCACATACACACACATGAATATATAAACAATAAATATACACACTGGGGGGGGGAGGGGAATATCACTACATGGTTTACTTCTATACACACCATTTATATATTTAATTATTTTCTCCATAGGGTGACAGAGGATTTGACGGCCAGAAAGGATCCAGAGGCGATCAGGGAGAAAAGGGGGAAAGGGTGTGGTATTCTTTCACTTAAGAATAATGAAAAAAAAATCAATACAATAAAATCTGTATACTTTAAAGACCCAGAATTCAATGAAATGCCATGCTTTTAAAAGCTGTACTTGGAGATATATAGATATAGATGATATAGCTAGATATGCATATAGATAAATGAATATATAAAATCCTTACTTTGGATGAATTCATCCATTTAATTTGCAATCAAATCAATAGAAATGTCATCTATAAACAAAGTAATATTTCTGCTTCTACTTCAAATTGCCTAGATTTAAATCCCTTTGAGGGCCAGTTCTCACAATAGGAAAAATGCTTGTAACCAAACTTTGTCCCATATCAAAACAGATGGAATTATTCTTCCTGCCCCAAAACATAGTAGTTTGAAACCTTGATTTCATTATATAATAAGGGCTTGTATTTGATACACAGCAGTTGCTGGAATTTTTTTCATGCTCTTTCATGAGTTTTAGTCTCAAAAACAAACCTTTGTATCAGAGTTATGTGTCTTTGAACTTTTACTTGCTCCAGTTGAAACATTCTAAAAAGCACCCTAAATTAATTGTGCTGTTATCTTATCCTCTGAAACCTTGCAGTTTAATTTTCATAACATAATTAGTTCTCCAAAATTTTAAAATGGTCCACTTGTATACTTATTCATTATTAGAGAAACATATGCAGAAACTGTTTTAACCCTATTCAGAGTCATTGTGCAACCTCAGTTAAGAGCATTACAAATTATAAGATTTCTGCTTTTGGGAAAATTGCCAGGACTCTACCTTTTAAAACACATCTAGGCTTATGTGCATAATGAGGATAATACAGTAATAATAATATAGTAAACCTGATTTATTGAATTACACAAATAATAAGATATCATTGAAAGAAGTCATAAATGAGTATTATACATATAAAATCCTTCTTACTGGATTCATAGAGATACTAAATTGAGATTACTTTTCCTTATGTATAGTCTTCTGCCGAAATCAGAAACATTCAACAGGAATGACGAAAGCCAAAACTATCTTGAAAAGTTGCCCTCAATTTTTTTTTGCAAAAATATGATTTAATAAAAAGAAAACTGTTGTTTTTAAATATTTACAAACAATTGTAACAAGATGAAATACTCTATCCTGCAAAAATTAATCAGATGTTCAAAAAGAAATTCTATTCTAATTCTATACAAACTCCTACGTTCCAACCTAGTTAGCAGAATATCAATCCATGCAGAAGCAGGATAATTAAATTTATTTGCAAGTATAATCTCCATGTAAGAATTCTTCAAATCTCTATTGGTAGGGTACTCCAGGGATTATAGGTTCCCCAGGACCTGTAGGAAATGATGGACCCCCTGGTCCTCCTGGTCCACCTGGCAACGTTGGCCCCAAAGGCCCAGAAGGAATTCAAGGGCAGAAAGTAAGTATTCGCCATTGGACTATTTGATTGTTATTGTTAACATTCTAGGTCAAGGTTTCCCAACCTTGGTACAACTTTAAGAGTGTGGACTTCAACTTCCAGAATTCCCCAGTTGAAGTCCATGTGTCTTAAAATTGCTTAGCTGGAGAATTCCTGTTATCCTGTTTATCCTGTTCAGAATTGCCTGATATAAGCTTTTGCATCCTGGTAGTCCTGTTAATCAAATGATAAGCAAATATTGCATTTTAATCTCAAAAAAAGAACAGTATGGCTGGACTGCGCTTTGCCTTTTCCTCTTTCTTTTGTTCATTCCTTTCCACTTTAGAGGTGGACATAAACCAACTAACTATCAAGTCCTACCTTTAGTAGTCTGCTCTATGCCAACCTTCAGTAGGAAGTAGATTCTTAGGCTCTTGGCTAATGATATCCTGGGCAAAGTGCAGCTCTCAATATATAGGTGGAACATCATGGGTGTGAAACTTGTGGCATCACGTTGCCATCACGTGACATTTCACAACACTTTTTCCCTTTGTGGAGCTGGGGTGGGCGTAGCCTGTGTGCAAGATGCATCCAGCCCATGGACTACCAGTTTGACACCCCTTTGCTTCATGGAAGACCATCAGTGTTCGAGCCATTGCATTCTGGATCAGATGAGGATTCTAAAGGGTCTTCAAGGGCAGCCTGCATAGGGTGAACTGGAGTCATCCAAATGGGAGATGATTGAGTTGTGAGCAGCTGTATGAAGACCCCCCAGTTTAGAATTGCTTATAACTGGTGCACCAGACATAACTCCAAAACCATGTGGGCCACAGCTTCACCTGCTCCTTGACGAGTGCTATGAGTCCAGAGCACTTTGAACTTATGAACCAATTCCACACAAAGACAAATTACATACTAATCTCAGTTCTTTTTAAAAAGTAGCAGTCCTTAACTTTAAATCCTATTTTCCTTAATTTATTTTCTTCCTTTTACATTTCTTTCAAGAAATAAAAACAAGGCAGATCGCTATATTGAAAGCAATAAAACCTAAAATTAAGCAAAACCACCAAGGTGTCAAAAATAAACCAGAGACCATTGGTATTATGATATATCATCACTAACATCATTAGGATTATTCAACATGAGTGGTGCACAGTGATACAGGTTGATAAGATGTACCTCTTCAAAATACCATTTCTGGGAAGGAAGGGAAGGAGAAAGTAAGGAAGACTAGCGGGGTGTCTGGCCCTATGAAATGACTTAACTTTAAGGGTCCTGTGTGATGACATGATAGATCTTCTTGGTTTGCTCTTATAGGGTGAAAGAGGCCCTGCAGGTGAGAGAGTTGTAGGAGCTCCAGGACCACCAGGCACGACTGGAGAAAGGGGAGAACAGGTTTGTAAATACATTGTGAACTATCTTTACTTACCAGAATGCTTTCTCCCCACCTCCATCCAAAATTATGAAGTTTTATATATGTATATATATGGCTGGGCATGTTATCTAAACCTATTGTGATTTACGTAATAATTCATGGTTTAGACTTTTGTATGAACCCAATCTAAATTGGAAATGATGCCAAGCTCATTTGCTTTTGTTATTATCCAATTTTACTTATAAGCTATATACATTTTTTAAATACATGAAAATGTGTATCTCAGATTTTCTTCCAAATGAGCATATTTTTCAGCTCCAAATACTTTGATTTAATAACTTTGGTTGTTTGTTTGCATGTTCACAGGGAAGTCCAGGGCTAGACGGCTTAAGGGGAGAAAAAGGAGTACCTGGCATGACGGTGAGGGAAAAGGCCTTTCCAATACAATGGTCTGAGGACATTTGTTTATTGCTTTTGCCAGTTTTTTACTAGTGAATGAAACTGAAGGCTAGTAACATTTTGAATCAGAATCCTGAGACCGGATTGGGATTTGTTTATTCCTAAATTCATTTTAGGTGGCTATAGCAGATTTTTTTTTCTTTACCAAAAATTACATTTAATTAAGCACTCTACTCTGATTCCAGACTTTTAGAAGTCTCTTTTTTTGTATTTTGCTTTGATCTGGATGTTACTTTGGAAGGTTTTGTTGAAGAAAATGGAAATGATTATTTCCCACATTTATGGGAGGCCTAGACACAGGGCTGCCTTGGGAGCAGAACAGCACTTTGAAATACACTTCCCCTTGAGATTCAGCAGATCTCTGCCCTCCTCTCCTTCTGGAAAGTGTTAAAGAGCTGGTTCTTCCCACAAACTTTGTGGTAGAGTAAGGCTGGAGTTTAGTAAAGTTGTATATTAATGTGGGGGTGAGTATTGTTTAGGGCAGTGGTGGCCAACCTTTTGGGGCTCCTGTGCCAAAAATTGTGTGCGCACTGGCACCTGCATGCTTGTGTGCCAGCACCCAGAAGGCAATGCTCATCCCCCCACCACACACCCTGTGCATGCGCATGCAATCCCCATGCCCCCGCCCCTCCCCCCCCACCCCCTTACCTGCACTACACCTTACAGCTGATTGTTAGCCTCCCATAGGCTTGAAAAAAGCCTCTGCAGGCTTTGCAGGACGAATAATAGGCCCATTTTGTCACGTCTGGTATTACAGGAAGTGATGAAATGGGCCTATTATTCAGCCTGCAGAGGCTTTTTTTCAAGCCCCTGGGAGGCCGAAAAGGCCTCAAACCAGCTGAAAATTAGCTGTGAAGTGCACGCTTGCGTAGTGAGGTAAGTTTGCCTGCGGCTCACATGCCAGCACAAATATCTCTGTGTGCCACCTGTGGCATGCATGCCAGAGGTTCACCATCACGGGTTTAGGGGAACATTGGGACTTTTATTATTTTTATACTTTTTTTTGCAGTTTTATTGCTATTTCTAAGCTGACTGGGTAATGCTGCATAATATAAGTACAATAGATAAATAGTCATAAAGTAAAGTAATATTAGACTATAAGTCTAATAAATAACTAGAATATTATTGCTTTATGATTAACTGCTAAGAGTCCATTTGGATTGTGGGAGGGTTATCTGTGGACGGAATGAATGAATGAATGGGTGAGTGAGTGAGTGAATGAATATCAATTAGTTCGGTATTATTTGCTTTGTGCTTTTTTGCAGGAAGAAGAGGTCCGACAATTTGTCAGGCAAGAGATGAGTCAACATTGTGGTAAGCCCCACCCCCCAAGGCTAATTGGATCCTTCAACCCTGCCATTTCCCCTCTAGACTTTTCATATCCATATTCTCATTTTCTTGTACACAATTTAGCTAATAACTGCCCTAGATGGTGCTGAAGCATGATTAAGCATGTCTTACTGGGGAAATTGCAAATATGTTTGCAGCAGTGGAGAGGATTTTGGATGTTATACTGTTTACTCCAATGCTTTTCAATGTCCTGTCTCATAGCTAAATAGTTTTGAGGGGGAAAAGTCTGATACTTTTGTCTTGTTTGTCATACAAGAGCAGCTAGAGACAATTTCCATAGGGAAAATCATTTGGGAAATCAAACATGAAGTTTTTCACAGAACAAACAATGTTTGTAAAGAAAAATCTTCAAAGTGTAACTTGTAAGAAAGTACCGTTAAGGCTGATACTTGTGTGAACTTTATTCAGGAACTAACATCATGAAAGGAAAATCTAGGTTACTAAAATATATCTATAGCTACGTTCTTTTTGTGTGCCCCAGCCATTATGGACAAACAGCAAATGATTGAGAACCTGGACTGCACAAATCAAAGTCAAAAGAAAACATTACATGAACTGAAAAATTACTGAAAGCCCTACTTTCAGTGTTTCTTAACTTCCAAGATTTGTGGTCTTCAACTCCCAGAATTCCTCAGCCAACAGTTGAAGTCCACACATCTTAAAGTTGCTGGCATTGAGCAACACTGATCTAAGCAACAGGATGCAAGTTAGATCTGAAAGAAGATAACCATTCTGGTTATAAAAAGTTGGGGCATTCAAATTGCAACAAAACTTCAGCTTCCCTAATATTCCTCTGAAAAAAATAGTGATGCTTATCTCCCACCTAAAACTGTATTTCTGTTTAAAAACTGGCAGACAATCTAATCTCAGAATGAGTGTCCTCGTGAATGAATTGTTTCTTTGTTTTTCATTTCAGCTTGTGGAAGCCAATTTTCTGTTTCTGAACGGCGTAAGTATTTTGGATAACTATGAACTATCTTCCTTTCTGCAGTACTTGTAGTCTGAGACATTAATAAAGAGGTATTCACACATAAATATACCCAGATATGTACAACTTTTGAGGAATACAGATTCAACAGAATGAGATGAGGAAGTAAACATTGCCTATAGTATTGCCATAGCTATACTATTGAGCCCTAGCATCCAACTCATGATGATTTCTTTCTTTAATTTGAGCAAATAATATTTGTCTAGAAAAATGTTTCATCCTGTCCTTAATATTTAGTATTTGTTTGTTTGTTTAGCTGTTTTAAAGCTCTCATTTAGCATGGCCGCAATATTATGAAGCAGACAGGCAAACTGATTTTACAAGGAGGAACTAGAAACTGAATTATATGTTTTCAAGATTAAAATAATGTTTGAGAGACCCTGCTCTCTACCACACATCTGAAAAGTATTATGATTATTGTGAGAAGTGAAATAGAAGAGTAGGAATGCCACTTTACCCTGCCCTCTAACCTACCATGGCATTCATGCATGTAAAAGGCAATAGGTAGATAGTAGTAATTAAGAGGCAGTTGCAACTGAAAGGTTAAATAACCATCCTACCCTTGCTACTTTTTTGCTTCAGGTTCCAGATCTTCTTGCTAATTCTGCTCTTTCAGTGCTTCACAAAGATTCATATTTCCATTTCTAAGTCTTTTACTTTAGACTTAGTTTGAAGAAGAATTGAAATTCATAATTTTGTAGTTTGAAATACAACATTGAATCTGATAATTACAGTAATTATCAGACTAGAAAAATTTGCAACCAATCTCTGGGGGAAGGAAAGGAAGGGAGGGAGGGAGGAAGGAAGGAAGGAAGGAAGGAAGGAAGGAAGGAAGGAAGGAAGGGATGCATGAGAAATGCATGCAAGAAGCAGAAGAAAAAATAACTGGAGACATTCAGGTCCCTAACAACTCCCTATTGTATAGCGAGATTTATTTTATTTATTTATTTATTTTATTTTATTCGAATATAAACAAGAACAAAGGAAATAAATACAGATAAATAGGGATAGTAAGACAGGCATGCTGATGAGCTTATGCACGTCCCCTTTAAAGACCTCTTAAGAATGGGGTGAGGTCCACGGTAGAAAGTTTGAGGTTAAAGCTATGAAAGGTTGAGGCTGTAACAACGGAGTTGGGTAGGGCATTCCAGGCATTAACCACTCTGTTGCTGAAGTTGTATTTTCTACAATCAAGTTTGGAGCAGTTTACCTTGAGTTTGTATTGGTTGTTTGCCCATGTATTATTGTGATTAAAGCTGAAGAAGTCGTTGACTGGCAAGATGTTATAGCAGACAATTTTGTGAACTATGCTTAGATCAGACCGCAGGCGGAGCAGTTCCAGATTGTCCAGGCCCAGAATTTCGAGCCTGGAGGCATAGGGAATTCTATTGTATGAGTGGAGGAGTGGAGTATTTTTCTCAAGAAATATCTCTGAGCCCGCTCAATTTTGTTAATATCCAATATACAGTGTGGGTTCCAGATGGACAAGCTGTATTCGAGAATTGATCTGGCAAAGGTTTTGTATGTCCTAGTTAACAATTCAATGTTGTCGGAGAAGAAGTTCACAAAATAAAGTTAACAACTCTTAAAGGCTTTTTGGCAATGCTGTTACAGTGAGATCTGGGGCTTAGATTGTATGAGATAAGTACTCCTAGATGTGAACTGTGTACAGTTTGAAAACATTTAACACCTATGATTATGTATGAAATCAATATTCTTTCAGTTGGTAATGACAACAGATGCAAACCTTGGAGAATAAGTGTTTTGTGCTTATTTGTTTCACTAACTTTAAAACATTCCATTGGTACTAGCCAAGAGGCCTGCATTGTGTATTAGTGTAGTGTTTTTAGCCACCCAAATTGGCCTGTGTACAAGATTTTTTCATTCAAAGACAGGTAGCTTAAAATTCATCCATAACGACTGTTCTGGTGTCCAGGATACATATTTTGTATTATTCATTATATCAGCTTTATTTGAGAACTTTCTCCTCTCTATGTACATAATTATTACTCACTCACTTTTATAGAAAAGTTTAAAAGGAGATACATTTTCTGAAGGTTCTTGAACTTTGGCTGGAAACTTCTTCTCTTGAGATGGGGAGGTCAATTATTTCTATGGCAGTTATGTGCCTATTTAGCTTTGCATTGTGGCTTCTTCTTCCCAGGTAATCTCCCCAATGATCCATCCAACCACCCATACCCATCTGTTAAAGCTCAAATAATCCCTGTGCTTAAACTGTCCCATGCTGAAGAAGAGGAAGGTGAGTCTTGTTTCTTAGTATGTTTTCCTTTTGTTTTTCCTTGCACACATTGTAGGTTTCTTGATGTTATTAGGCATCAAATGTTAGCTGTCACACTTTCCTTGCAAGAATTAGGTTTTTTCACCTTTCCTTTCAGTCCGCTTTGGAATTCGAAAGTAGGATGTACTTTGCAAGCCAGGAATTATCAGATTGACAGTCTATTCTTCTATTGGAAACGAGGCAGAATATGGTTAGCTTTGTTTTATTTGGAACAAAATGAGGACTCAAATTGTTGGGGACACAAGTCTGTAAACTGCTTAGAGAGTGCTATAAAGCACTATGAAGCATTGTATAAGTCTAAATGCTTATTGCTATAATAGCTTATGAAAAGGAAAGTAGATTGCATATACCATTCTATAGGTAAAACCCAGGGGAAATAAGAATAAGTAGTGGTAATGTAATATTGCTCAATTCATTTCTTTAGTAATGAGTAATTTAGTAATGTAAAAGATAAAATTTAACAATGTACGAATACAATAATATAAAATCAGAAAGAAACATAAAAATGCAGAAAAAATAGCCATGAAGCTAATTGACATTCATAATTTATAGTGCTCTACAATCATCTGGAAGTGCCTTTGAAAATCATTCAGAAGCTGTGGCTGGTTCATAATAGAGTAAATGGGCAATATTGAAAATTTCAATTGGCTTAATCGCTATGTTTTTTGCATTTTTATGTTTCTTTTTTATTTTATATTATTGTATTTCACATATTATTTATTATGTTTTATCTGTGGCATTACTAAATTACTCATTACTAAAGAAATGAAATGAGCAATATGTCTTCTTAGGCCTACATAACACCTTTGTTCTGTGAGCTGCAGTAGGTACCAGTAGGTTCCAGGTACAATTCCAGGTGCTGGTTATCCCCTACGAAGCCTTCATGATACAGTGCCAGATCCTAAAAGACCATATGGCTTTCATAGTTTCTGCCTGGCCCATATGATCAAACAGAATTAGCATGTTCCACGTCTCTTCCATTTTGTAATTGAACCCATGGAACATGTCTTCCAAAGGGCTGATTGCAGCATCAGCCCTTTGGAAAATCATCCCTGCTGAGATTTGTTTGGCCTCCATTGTGATTGTATTTAAATAGTATTGAAAATCTGGCTCTTTTCCCAGATCTTGTGTTACAGTAATTGATTATATTTAGGGTAGAGGGAATTGCTCCTTATAGCAATTGCTGCACTTTTAAAAATATTGTTTTCCTTTTGTGTTTTAATCTATAAATTCATTTTGGAATTGGGTGGCGTACAGATTTAATACCTTCATAAATAAATAGATTATTCTTTCTCAGAATACAATTGTAAGTGTGTCCTACCTCATGGATTCAACATAGTTGTTGTTCCTTCTTTCTCATCAAGCCTTCCTTAACTGAGATCTTTTGAATCAGCCACCTCTGTTTTGTAGGGAGCCAGGAACAAAACATATTGAAAACAAGTAGGCCTGAATATGAGTATATTTACACAGAGGACGACTATGAAGAGGGCCTGATAGCAGACGGGACTGAGAGTCCTATGTTGAGGGATGGTGAGTTACGTCAGTCTCTGATGTGTGTTTAAAGGATTGGTACATGCCTGTGGTTTTCTCTGTGGAACCTGAACTCCTTTTGAAACTTGTGGAAGTAATTAGTAAGAGTGCAATCATTAATAGACTACTTGGCAATCTCTGAAATAAGTAATGGCTTTAAACCTACCCTACCTTGTTGACCTTGGCTAAATTTGAAAAAGATAAGCAGGTCAAATCCGGCACATCAAATACTTTAGGCATTCTGATTTAGACTGGAAGAAGTTCAAAACAGAATCCCATGAATGGACAATGAAAAACTATGTCCATACTGTTACAAAGAAAACTAGATGGATGCTTCCATGTGGTTAAAAGGAGTGATGCTCAATCAAGGTTTTTACCCAAAGGATAATTTTGCTATAAGCGATTCCTTTTACATATGTATGTAATTATTTTACAATATTTCTAGATTATCTCAACTGCAAAACTCAGAGTGGTGTTCAACAAAAACAGGAAAACAGAAAATAAGAATATTTCTTCTGTTAAAAAATGTTAATATCAATAGTAAAACGAAGTGCCCACCTTCAGTCATTTAGGACCAAAGGCATAACAGAGGATGAATGCATTTTTTGCCTTGCAATACTATATGCAAGTTGGGAGGGTCCCTTGCTTATCTCTGGGGAAAGCCTGCAGCCAATTAAGAGAAGGCCTATTGCTTAAACCAAGCCCTTAGATACACTATCTGGCAATTTTGGATCTTTTTTTAAGTAATAACGAGTTGATGGTGTGGTCTACTTATTAGGAACTTTAATTAGAAGCAATCCCCATTACCAATAAATTTATTAAACTGTATAGTTTCTCTCTTGAGAAGGAAAATGTGGATAATATATGAAGACTGTCTGGGATGGCTAAAGTTTATTAACTTTAGACTTCTACTGCTCAGAATTGGTCTTTAGACTGAAATAGCTGAATGGGTGTAACACAAAGTATAACTGGATGTAACTACCAACTCTTTGCCTTCTTTCCAGCCTATTCTTGTAATGTCTGACAATACGACTATATCTAGAGCATTAGAGAGAACGAGCCCCATTTCTGTTGAATTGCAGCTAAGTGTAATGCCTAAAGTAGCACTATTGCATCTTAGATAAGCTAATGCCTTGTTGCATCCTCACTGTTATTTTTTCCCCAGCTGACCTGTGCACTTTGAGTCTGGAACAAGGCGACTGCAGCAAATTCACCCTACAATGGTATTATAACCAGAGAGTGTTGGAATGTCGGCCCTTTATCTACAGTGGCTGTGGAGGAAATTCCAACCGCTTCAGCTCCAAAGAGGACTGTGAGTTTTACTGCAAGCCCCAGGCAGATACAGGTAGGAGCTGACAAAGCATCCCATGAAATGCCTATTCTTCACTCCTTTAATAGTTCTAAATATGGTGGTTTTCCATGAAGTTTCACCTTCTCTCTCTCTCTTTCTTTTGGCAGTTATTAGCACAGTGGATAGAAACAAAACTGTATAAATGCTGAAGTGAGTTTGGAGAACTGATGTACTGAAGAAAAGAAGAGTTGCAGCCATTTGGACTCCCTGTCATTTTTATCATGGATAAGGTCTTAAATATACACCTGGCAGTGACCTGTGACTTGAGAATCACCTTGCTGCCATTTGTACTGCCTGCAACACAGTTGTTTGTGGGTGCATATGTCCATATGAGTGTATATGTATGCGTAGATTGTTTGTGTGTGGGCTGCTTCAGCTGGAGCAGAGAAATGGTGCTATTCTTTGTTTTTGTTTTTTAACAGTAGTTTTGTTGCTCTTGATTTATTATTTTTTTAAATTAAGGTGCTTTTTTAATCAAGTGGGAAATATATGCATACCATCTATTATGTATAATGTAAAGAAAAGACATATTTTTAATTAGAGTTCTTTAACTTATTTGATACTGGCTAACTAATGACACGTGGAATGTATTGTGGCCTGACCAAATTCAGATTCTGCCTGCAACTTGCAGGGTTATAGATCTATATATTATTCCTCTAGGAGTAGATTAATAAGAAGCTAATTAGACAGGATCACACAGGCTAATCCTGAGAGCCTAAAATGTCTTTCCAGTCATAAAGATACAAAAGTCTTCTGATTCACAGGCACTGCTAGAGTTCTTTCTGTAAATTTATTTCATTATGAGCAGAAATTATTAAGGAGCTCTCCCTTAAACTGTTTTTTCATAACTTATAACTTTTTATTGTTAACAAATAAAGTTTGGGAAATGCCAGGCTTTTTCTGAGCCTGAGGTGTCAAAAATAAAATTGTCACAGAATGGAATATGTTTTCCCAAAGGATTTCCTTTTCCCGGCCCTCAGTTTTCCAGGGCCTTTAGAGTACTAGAATCCCTTAATCTCTCGACTCTTGAACAAAATAATGTCAGCTGGTTGGATTTAATTCTGAATTGCTTTGTGCCCAAACTCCATGGATTAAAATGGTGGCAAGGCTGGCAAAATTCAAAGTTGCAAATGTTCAGATATTTTGTACTATGAAAAATAACTGAAAAATAAATTTGAATATTGAGAAAAAAATCATTGTCCATTACCAGGAGCAGTAGAAGTTCAACTATGTGACTAAGAATTGTTTCATCCGGTGAATGTGCTTAATAGTTTAGTAAATTAATTGAAGCTAAGGTAGATCATCATATCCATTGACTGACAAAGAATGCCATATGCCTTGGAGAATTATTTTTCATGTCTTTTGAAATACTTGGAGCTCTAGGACAACTACAGCTATTCTATATATGGCTGCACTATATAGTTATAAAAAGGCATTATTGTTTCCCATTTTTTTCCTTACAATTGAACTTACTTTGAATTGCCACTATGTAGTCCTCGACTTATGACCACGATTGAAGCCAAAATTTTTGTTGTGAGATATTTGTTAAGTGAATTTTGCTCCATTTTATGACCTCTTTTACCACAGTTGTTAAGTGAAGCACAGCAGTCATTAACTTAGTAACATGGTTGTTAAGTGAATCTGACTTCCCCATTGACTTGTTTGACAGAAGGTCGCAAAAGGAGATCACGTGTCCCAGAACACTGTGACTGTCATAAATATGAGGCAGTTGCCAAGCAGCTGAATTTTGACGTGACCATGGGGGTGCCGCAATGGTAATAACTCTGAAAAATAGTCATAAATCACTTTTTTCAGTGCCGTTGTAACTTCAAACTATAACTAAACAAGTAAGTAAGTTAAGTTAAGGACTACCTGTAGTCTTTTGCTTCTTTTCCCTCTTTTCAGGGCCACTTCTAGACTTTTTGGTGCCCTAGGCTAGGGGTCTCCAACACTGGCAACTTTAAGACTGGTGGACTTCAACTCCCAGAGTTCCTCAGCCAGCTTTGCTTGGTGAGGGACTCTGGGAGGTCTTAAAGTTGCCAAGTTTGGAAACCCCTGGTCTGGATCACCTTCTGATTGCTAGGAATTTCAAACAGACATCTTCTTTCTTTCTTTGGATTTTCAAGCCCGTTATGATTTTCAGTCCCCAGACAATTATTTTCTTTCCTTAGGCATTGTCACCTTATTTACACTGCAGAGCTATATTTAATCCTCAAGGTTTACAATGTGAGCAGTTGCAGCTTTTAAACTTTTTTATTTGTTTTTTTTAGAAGTCTTTTCAATTTTGGTGCCTCCTAAAATTTGATGCCTCTAATACCTACTCAGCCTTAACCTAGAGCCACCCCTCTTTCTTCAGAAAGGCATGAATGTGTGGATTTTACCTTGAGGTGGCAATAAGTTATTCCACTGATTTCTGCATAGAAAGCTATTGTTTCAGAAATGTTCTGTAGAACTTCATCCACCATCCGGAATGTCACGAGGACTATATCAGAAGGTTAATTCATTTAGCCTCCTGCAAAACTGGTCTCTCACCTGTGGTACCTTAAAGATTAAACATCAATTATCTACTCAGTCACATTGTTAAAATTCAGCAATTCGCCCAAATATGGATAAGTCCAGGTAAATACAATAAACTAACATAGGTCAAGTTTATTTTCTTCTCACCAATATGCTTAAGAAAGCAAAAAATGTTGGCCAAAGAGAGCAACCTTGGTGTACGTATATATGGTGCTATAGCTATTTATCACTGTTGTATTTTCAAAATATTGAATGTACATATCACTGCAGAATTTTTCTCTGCTCTATGTAAGATTCCTCCATTAATTATATTATGGTGCAAAAATCTGAACGTGCTAATCAAATAAAAATATATAGTACCTCATTCAATCAAGTGTGTTTACTGACTTTGTTAGGCCCATCAGAGATATTTTCCCTTGCCTTTAAGCCGTGTTTGATCTGTAGCCTTTCGTCTGAAGAAGTTGCAGAATGCTTTTTCGGTGATCCCATCCATATTTCCCAATACTGGAAGTGGGTACGCTTTAGTGGAATACTTAGGGGATGGTTCAGTGCAATAGCTGGAGTTTGATAGCTATAAAATGGATGTATTTCTACATTCATTACATTTGAAACTTTAGGTGACCTGAACAGTTGTCCCCTGTTCTTCTATTTTTTTTTATTTTAAGATTTTTAAAAAAGAGTATCAGAATTCAACAGATAACCAGTACAAAAGGACTGTACAATGCTAAAAACAATACTTTCAGTCCTCAAGGTGTCAGACTGGGGAAGACTGCAGTATATAACCAAATTTGATTCACTAGTCTTTCAATATTTGAGGGGCTGCCACAGAGAGGAGGGGATCAAGCTATTTTCTTTTTTTTTTAATTTTTTATTGTTTTTTAACATACAAACAAACAGACAAAACATAAAAACATCAGCTCCCCCATATTTATATACAAACAGTGAGTCGGTTGGTTCATCAGTTTTGTGCACTCATCTCATAGTCACAATTACAATTACCTTGTATAATAACTCTTATTGTCAATACAAACTTATAAATCATAATATCACTATTAAAAGAAGAAGTTTGACTAGACTTTTGTTCGATCATGCCTTTGTGAGATATTTTCTAAAGCGCCTGTAGGCCAGACAAGGAATAATGGATGGAAACTGAACAAGGAGAGATTTAACCTGGAAATAAGGAGAAACTTTCTGACAGTGAGAACAATCAACCAATGGAACAGCTTGCCCTCGGAAGTTGTGGGAGCGCCATCATTTGAGACTTTCAAGAAGAGATTGGACTGCCATTTATCAGAAATAGTGTAGGGTCTCCTGCTTGGGCTGGGGGTTGGACTAGATGACTTACAAGATCCCTTTCAACTCTGATTATCTATCTATCTACCTCCTGTTCGCTACAGAATCAGCCTTCCATCCTTACTGATTAGATTCAGGAATTTCAGGCGAAAAGAAACTATATCAGAAAAGCAACTTTAAAAGTAGCATCAATCCAACCAATTGCATTGTAATGGGAATTGGATTTAATTCTTTCCCTTGAGCAACTGGTCAGGCTCTCTAAGATACTCTGCTGCAGAAATAGAACACTGGCTTATCTGAACGTTCATTTTCTGTCTAGGTGGAGTGAGTCCAGATAGGATGGGTTATATCTATAACCCATCCTATCTGGACTCACGTAACCAAAGACAGGAATAAACACCATATATGCTATTGCAAAGAAGTAAGAATTGTCACTTCCTTTTACTGAACCCTGATTCCAATGTTTTAAGTACTTTGAGATAACAGTGGCTGGCAGTTTGGTGCAAAGTACACAGAGCATTTACATTTTGCGCTTAAAGGACACAGTAAGAAAAGGCTCTCCTTATAACCACTGGGATTCCTCACAGGATTAACAATGTTCTTTGAGGACAACTTAAGCTATGGTAGGTGTCTTTCTCTTGGGGTATATTCCTCTTATGTCAAACAGCAGTGGTGGAAGGAGTGTATTTGCAAGGGTTGCCAATCAGTTTCTTCACTTTCCTTAAGAACAATTGGCAATCACAGGGAATTATTATTACCATTTAATACTACTAATAAAACAGCAACATAAATGTTGAACATATCAATTAGTGACTGCATCATACTTATTCAGAAAGCAAATGCTGAACTAAGTTTTGTATGATATAGGCAATTGTCTTGCTAGCTAGATGAGCATTTTCACAGCATGCTAAGCATATGTTTTCAGCAGTTATACTGAGAATTTATTGAGCTAGTTTAGAAAAAAAAAATAAGGACATCTTTTAATTCCTTCAACTGACAATACCCTTTTGTGTGATCAGAGAAAAAGGAACTGCAGCAATTCTTTTAGTTCATCCTTAAGCTTAGCTGAAGAAATAAAATGTCTTAATGAATATGCTAAACATAAGAAGGTTTGGTGTAATGCAGGCATGTCTGACCAGTGATCTATGGGCCACATACGGCCCTGGATAGGTAATATGGCCCAAGATTGTATAATTTTAACATTATTTGTGATTTTTGGCAACAGTTACTATATTAAACATTTTGTATATGGCCCAAGAGTATTTCTCTTCACTCATGGTAGCCCAGGCAAGACAAAAGGTTGGACACGATGGTGTAGTGATTAAAGCAACAGGCTAGAAATCAGGAGACTGAGTTCTAGTCCCACCTAGACTAGAGCACAAAGTCAGTTAGGTGACTTTGGGCCAGTCACTCTCGGAAGCAGGCAATGGCAAACTATGTCCAAAATGTTTGCCAAGAAAATTACAAGGACTATACCAGGTAGTGATCAGGCATCAACAATGACTCAAAAATCACACACAGACAAGCACCAGCAAGATCTATCAGTACATATCTCAGTAAATTTGTTTCTGGTACTAATTACGGTAAGTTTGAAATTGAAAACCAGCTCTAGATCTGTTTCATATGTGCATTACAATCTGATCTTCCTATATATCAGAATAGCTGAATACCAGGTAACATCACAGATCAATATTTCATTATTTAAAAAGCTGTGTAGTTGCAAAAAGTTTAGAACAGCCTTCTGTGATTCCTTAATGTCCTACAGATATATAGATTTCAATTCCTAGAGTTCTAAGCAAGGGATGATATTTGGAAATTCTGGAGAGGTGACTAACCTTTTTCTTAAAGACCTGCAGAGAGTTCCCCATCCTTTGCTAGGTAATGGAAATGTAAAACGGTTGGAATCTTTTTATTGAATTTATGTTTATTGTGCAGACAATGAAACTTTTTTAGGAAAACAAAAATAGGTAACAACTGAAAAGGAAAAAAAGGGTGGGGGGAGCCAGTTTGGGTCAGAACAATAATCTCCCCTGCTTCAGGTATTTTTTTCCTGGAAAATAATTCCAATGAGTATACAGAAAAAAGTATTGACAACTCCCCCAAAAATAGGGAAGAAAAGAAAAAAAAAATCGAGGTTTTCAAAAGACAACGGAGATTGTCTTCTATATCAGAAAAAAAAAAAAAGCTAACGTAATCTGAAACAGTATAAACGAGAGGCGGCTTCCCGGCTTGCTTCCAATGCACAGAGCGGTGCAAAGCACGGCTTTCCTTTCCACTTCCGTCCTTTGTCGCCTTGCCCGAGATTGGCTGCCAGTCTTCCTTTCCGGCCTGAGGCTTTGCCCTCGATCATTGGCTTGCAAGGCGGTCAAGACCCGCCTGATCCCGTCGTTTCGCCTTTCTCCTGGCAGCTAGAGCGCCCGCTCCAGCCCGACCGCTTGACGAGTGCGGCTGCGCGTCACTGAGATGCTGAGCTGTCTCAACTTTGTCTTGCTGGCAGGAAGTGGCGGCTGTGCAGGAAGTAGAGATTTCCACGCAGAAGCGGACTGTCTGTCTAGCGCTGCCGTGTCCCATAATTTCTGTTCCGTCTGTCACAGCACCTTCTTCCTTTCCTTCCCTGTCCCCTGGGCGAGGGTGAGGTTTAGCTGGTGGCTTCTCCCGCTCCTTCTTCTTTACCCGGTTCTGCACCTCCATCCACGGACAGGATGCTGAAGAAATTTGACAAGAAGGATGAGGAGTCAGGTGAGCAGGGAAACACTATATGGAGTTGTCCAACGGGGCGACCTCCATTTGATGGCGTGGCTACTCCCTCCTCCCTATTCCCAGCTTGCAAAAAGCTACCTTATCCCGGCAGTAAAAATCCGGATAGTAGCAAAAACGTTTCGGACTTTTCCATAACTCCCCTTGGCTTCCAGCTAGCTAGCAGGAATCAGGATGTTTGCAGGATCTCTAGGGGCTGAAATTACGGGACCTGCAATCCAACATATCGGGGGAATGACTAAAGTAGACTAGTAGGAAGGGAGAAAAATGCAACCATCCTATTTTATGAATGAAATGTTAGTGCAACAGAGGTTTCTGGTGCGTGGTGTTAATTATTAATTGCCATGAAAAAGGATGTACCTACTCAATTCAATTCTTGTTAAGAGAAAGAACTACAGGCAGTCCTTGACTTACAACAGTTCATTTAGTGACTGTTCAAAGTTACAATGGCGCTGAGAAAAGTGACTTAGGGCCGTTTTTCACAGTTACAACTATTGCAGCATCCCCGTGGTCACGTGATCCAAAGCCAGATGCTTAGCAACTGGTTCATATTTATGACGGTTGCAGCATCCCAGGATCATGTGATGTCACGCCGGTGGAGCTGCTTGCGGCAGAATGGCACAAGGCCCGTCACGCTAGTGCCGCTGCTTGGGGCTGGACGGTGCGAAGCTTGTCCTGCTGCTGCTGCTGCTGCTGCTCATAGCCACACTCCACAAGACTCATTGTGCTGCTGCTCACGCACCTGCAACAACACTACACACCACGTCGCATCCTGATGCGAGCGGCTGCACCAGCACAATGAGCCGTGTGCCATCTGGCTACAAGCAGCTGCAGAAATCCGACAGCAGCACTACAGATGTCGGGGTGTGGGAGGCGTGGCTGCAGTGGTCCTAAGATAAGCAGGGAAGACATTCCCTGAAAATAAGACTTGGTGCTTATTTTGGGGCCGAAAATAAAATAAATACCAGATCTTATTTCAGGGAAACACAATAATAGCTGCTGTTTGTAATTGCTATATTGATAATAGCAATAGACTTATAGACTTAGATTTATATACCTCTTTTTAGTGCTTTACAGCCCTCTCAAAGCGGTTTACAGAGTTAGCATATTTCCCCCAACAATTTGGGTCTTCAAATCCTCAACTTATGTCCACAATTGAGACCCGAATCTCTGTTGGTAAGCAACACAGTTGTTCAGTAAATTTTGATCCATTTTACCGCCTTTTCTCACCATAGTTGTTAACTGAATCACTGAAGTTGTTAAGTTCATAACATGGTTGTTAAGTGAATCTTGGTGTCCCCATTGACTTTGCTTGCCAGAAGGTCAAAAAAGGTGATCCCATGACTCCAGGACACTTCAAGCGTCATAAATATGAACCAATTGGTAAGCATCCAAATTTAATCATATGACCGTGGAGATGCTGCAATGGTCATAAGTGTGAAAAATAGTTGTAAGTCATTTTTTAATATAACCCTGGGTTATACAAGAGCATGTAGCCCCTGATCTTGGAGGGAGCATACAGGTAATCCTTGACTTATAACCATTCATTTAGCGACCATTCAAAATTATAGGGTATTCCCAGAATGGGATCATATTGATGGCTTCTCCAGGATTCTTGTAGAATCCAATGCTGAGCTAGATAACCCTTGGTTCCATTTCAGCACAATTTTATGTTTTTTTTTTAAAAAAAACCAACCTTGTCTCTGTCATGTGAAATTTCTTCGTATCTTATTCTTTTTCCTTTCCCTGCTTTTCCATCCTCAAATGCACATACTCCATTCTCAGAATTCTTGTTTTATAACCCAGCTTCCCCATATCAAGAAACATGAGAGGTGTATCAAGATGCTAAAGAAGTGACCAATTAAAGCAGCAACTGCAGCTGACTGTAAACAGTGCGCTTCTTATATGGCAGTAAAAAAATGTGTCCCTAGTTTTTAATTTCTCATTGTAACATTGAATATCCTTTTAATAATAAAAGATCTTTATGTTTCTGAGTTGTATTATTCCTTTCTTATGTATTTTTCTCATTGCATTTGAAATTGAGAACTACATAATGATATTTGTCTTGAATCTTAATGGATCCAACTTAATTGCAAGGCTAAGGTAATATTTTGTGACATTTCAGTTCCATTTGCACTTGAAAAGGTTAATGATTGCCTAGAATGATTGCATTTCTACCTCTTTTAATCTTTCCAAGTTTTGTTATTAAGTTTCTTTCAGGAATGTTAATTTTTATTAAGGACCAAATGAACCTGGGCTTTCCCAATTGAAATTTTGCCCATGGGAAAATTTTGATCATTAATTAAATTGACTATCTTACATTGCAGGTGGAGGTTCCAATCCATTCCAACACTTGGAAAAAAGTGCTGTGCTGCAAGAAGTAAGTTTCCAAATAATGCCTGCCTTTTCTTCTAAAGCGAAACCTCTAAATATGTCCTGAAATTCTTATGTCTTCATTTCTCTGTCCTAGGCCCGAGTATTCAATGAGACACCTATAAATCCTCGGAAATGTGCTCATATCCTCACAAAGATTTTGTATCTCATAAACCAGGTAAAAGGGAGATTTTATTTACAAAGTCTTTATTATACTGATTAAACAATCCTGCTCAGCTTGCCAACATTTAAGCTAAATTGCTGGAATTCCTTCAGTTATTTTTTTCAATGATAAAGGAGCCAGCAGTTGGATCAAAGAGCTGCTGCATGGTCTGGGGCAACATGAAAGGTGACTCATTGTGGTGGGATCATCGGCTCTCACTAACTTTGCCTCTCAGCTGGGTTAACTGTAGTCGTGAGCTTCTCTTGGCTAAGTCTTCCACTTACTGCACAAATACTAGCCAATGTGAGTGTTTCCTTCCATTCTAGGGAGAGCATCTTGGTGTGATGGAAGCCACTGAATCGTTCTTTGCAATGACCAAGCTGTTCCAATCCAATGATGTAAGTCTTTCATTGTGCATTTTGGCATTTGCTTAGGCTGGAAAGAGGATGTAGGGCCTCTGTTTGGAAGCTCCCTTGTCATGGGTTCTTCTAGGGATAAGATTACACACATGTACAGGAAAAGCTTTTGATCCCAAGTATGATCAGTTTATTACTTAAATACTAATTAAGCACTTTCTTGGAAAACTAAATTGTGTGTATATTTGAAACTTATTTTAGTACATCTACGTTGTTTATACTTTTTATAGGTGATGCTTTACTCTTATCTCATAGTTAACTTATACCTATTAACAGTAGTATTTCCTTACTGCTGCATGCCTATTGTTCCTATACTTATTTCCATAAGCCTATGTTTTAGCTCTATTTTTAGATATCCTTGAACCTTTGTTTCTATGCATACTTTATTTTCTAAAAGTGTTTCTTCACTTACAGACATATGTCTTATACTCCAATTTGAAGATTTTATGCTATGGAATCCCAGTTTTCCTTTGGAGATAGCCTGTCCCCTTTCTTTCCCCGTTGTGTGATCTTTTAAATTGAAATTGAATTTGAATTCTTTATTCTTTATTGTCATTGTACGTATATACACAGTATACATACAACGAAATTCACATAACATCCAGAGACCAGACCCAACACATACACACACACACACACACACACACGACAATCCCCAAACACCCCCACCTGCCAAAATTCCCCTAAAAACACACAAGCATCTACACAACAGACCAAGTAATACTGACCAACAGCTCACTGATGGTGGTCCTTAAGTTCATTGTTAAGTGCAATTATAGCTCTGGGATAAAAACTGTTCAGAAAACACGTGGTCCAAGTTTAAATTGTTCTGTATCTTCTGCCAGAAGGCAACAGTTCACAAAGATTGTAAGCAGGATGGGAAGAGTCTCTGAGAATGTTGTGCAATGTCCCCAAACAGCAGGATGCAAAGATGTTGTCCAGGGCTGGTAGCTGGAGCCTGATGATATTCTGGGCAATTTTAATGATTCCCTGTAGACCTTTTTTGTCCCCTACAGAGCTGCTCCCATACCATGCATTTTAGTTACAGTCCCTTCAAAAGGGATTGATGCGGTCCCCTTTGGCTTTGGTAGCTGGCTGCCTCTACTCAGAGCTCTGCTGAGCCTCTTAAAGGATGGCCTTGGTAGTTTGCTGACCTCACTAGGGATTGATGACACCGCTGGGATGACAACTTTGGCATCTTGCTCTCACAATGGCTTGATACCAGGCTTCATTTACATGTACCATGTGTGTCTCTCAACAAAATATTTCTTATGTATTATTTCCTATGCCAGCTTCTCAGTTTTTATTTGTGTCATCCAGATGCAAAATATATAGGGACCTCATCTTTTCCTGTAATATTGGCCACTTTATATGTCCTGTCAATATTTGTACATTCTAAGTCTGTGGTTTGTTCTCTGTGTCAGCCAACTCTCCGCAGAATGTGTTACCTGACCATCAAAGAGATGTCTAGCATTTCGGAAGATGTCATTATAGTAACCAGCAGGTAATTTTCTTCTTGAATCAATCGAACTGTATAAGCTGTGCGAGGGAGCAGCAGTACTAAAAAGAGATGATGAAACTGGAGCAAGTAAAAATAAATGGTAGCTTTAAAAGGCTATTGAAATGCTTATATAAAAAAAACCCTTCATTTAATTGGTTTGAGTAATCCAAACACATATGCAGAAAGATATGTTTTTATATATGTTGCCCTCCTCTGTCTTCTCTTTCCAGATGTTTTTCCTTTTAAATTATATGATGTATAATTAATAATTATAAGGAAGTAAGGTTAATAATACATTAACCACATTCAAAATATTAAAGTGATGGCTACCAATGCTAACCCAATGTGGGTTGTTTCATTTGTCTTAGCATGTGTTGCATACCCAACTATTGGGATCTGTAAAGCAGGGTTAATGATTTAGTGCAATGGGTGAATCTTATGTCACTCAGTGTTTATACAATGAAATACTACATTGATAATAGGCATTGTATATGTTGTCTATGTGATATACACAACACCTATGTATTGAAAGACATTATGTTCCAATTGAGATGCCCAGGAACAGAGGTGGTATTCTGCAGGTTCTGACCAGATCTGGAGAACTGGTAGCAAAAATTTTGAGTAGTTCAGAGAACCGGCAAATACCACCTCTGACTGGAGATTTTACAGTATCCTTCCCCTGCCACACCCACCAAGCCACATCCACAGAACCGGTAGTAAAAAAATTTGAATCCCACCACTGCCAGGGAAGCCAATTCTTAGAATCTAACACCTGATATAATAAATACATCATACTAACGTCTCTATTCCATTTTTGGCCAGCTTAACAAAAGATATGACAGGAAAGGATGACAACTATAGAGGCCCTGCTGTGCGAGCCCTCTGCAAAATTACAGACGTACGTATGACACTTTTGCATCTTCTGCAGTCTTTGTCAGTTTTTACATTTTCCCATCATTATGTGCCTCTTCCTTTCTTTTATTCTTCGTGGATTTTCCCTGTCTTTCTCCTGCATTGTTTGCTCCTTCAACTATGATCTTTGTCCATTCTTGGAAGTCTTGGCAGATGTTCTTCTGCATCCTTTCCAGCCAGCCTCTCATGCTCTGTCTTTCCTGCAGACCACCATGCTGCAATCTATTGAGCGCTACATGAAGCAGGCGATCGTCGACAAGGTTTCCAGTGTATCCAGCTCTGCCTTGGTGTCATCTTTGGTATGTAAGTGCTTGCAGAATTTATGAAATAGGCGAGAAATTTTGAGTGCTCGTTGTCCAACAGGACACTTTTTTAAAAAGTGAAAATTATGATGGAAAATCTCACCTGCCCCAGGCATAGAAAGAATTGACAGATGAATACTGTAGTTCTTTGTCGATTCTGTGAGTAGTAAAACGGTGCATGGCCATTCTTAATTGATGGAGCAATTTGTCTGTTTGGAAAAAGCAAAGATGTGGCTGTGTGTCTGTTTTTGCCAAATTGTTTTAAAGGCACAAACTCCCACTATTTTAGATCACGAATGAGGTAAAAGAGAGAATAGAAAAATGATGAAAATGATGAAAAATAATGCAACTCTTGGGCCACAAAACTTCTAATCTTTTTGGGAGCTATTCTGTGTCATTTTAAATGTTTCTGACATTTGAAGCAACTTCTTGATATGTTCTCTGGCTTTCTTCCTTTACAGCACCTTCTAAAGACAAGTTTTGATATAGTGAAACGTTGGGTGAATGAAGCTCAGGAGGCAGCATCTAGTGACAATATCATGGTCCAAGTAAGAGTTTTAAAGCTAATCAGGAATGTGTGACTCTGTGGTCTGAAGAATTTATGTGTACAAATATAGAAATAAAGTTGACGGGTTATCTTCCTTTGCTACCTTGTTCCAGTATCATGCTCTTGGCTTGCTGTATCACATTCGCAAGAATGATCGCTTGGCTGTCAACAAGATGCTAAATAAGTTCATGCGTCATGGATTGAAGTCACCTTTTGCCTATTGCATGATGATCCGAGTCGCCAGTAAACTGCTTGAAGAAGAAGCTGGAGGGTAAAAAAAGGACATTTTTCTGTCTTCAAAATACGATGTATATAGTTCTATAAAGCTAGTTCAGTGTAAATGATTAAACTAGGTCTATAGTTCAGTGTAAATGATTAAACTAGGTTTATAGAGCAAGTTCAGTGTAAATGATTAAAGATACCAGGCTAGAAACAGGGAGATCAGAGTTCTCATCCAATCCATGTCCTCACCAATCAACATGCGTCCTCACCAATACATATCGAAACTACATCCCACTAATACATGTCCAAACACTTGTTCTGTACCATATTGCATTTTTTGGCCTTCAGTAAAGCCACAATTGCTTAATCTGCTGTCCCTATTGATAATGTCTTATAAATATTATAGACGTGTCAACAGAGATATTATTAGCAATTAGCAATCTGATATTTTCTTAAACTTGCTATTCTCATGAAACAAAATTGAGCAGGATGAATTATGGACGATAGAGTAATATTTTACAATCTGTGTGATTATCTGTTTAAATTTGAAAGAATGCTGGCGTTTGTACCATCTGATCAGAAATTTCAACCCAATACTTATAAATTAAACTTTGATCACAGAAAAAAGACTCAGTCATTGGTGTTTAAGTGTAGTGGGTGATAATGGATGTTTGAATCTAATGTTTCTTTTTCTTGTTTGTTTGTTTTCTTGTCCTAGCCGGGATAGTCCGCTGTTTGATTTCATTGAAAACTGCTTACGGAACAAGCATGAAATGGTGGTCTATGAAGCAGCATCGGCCATTGTTAACCTGCCTGAATGCACAGCTAAGGAACTAGCGCCTGCTGTGTCTGGTAATGGTGACATTTTTTAATGATTTCATGCTTGAGGTTTGCTGAGTTACTTGATACTGATTTGGTTTGCTTTGGCTTGGTTTATTAGTTCTAAATGAAGTTTTACTGGCTGCAAAATGAACTTGGTTGCTATGTTTATGTAAAGTTACTAACACTTTCAGCCATGTTGCTTCATGTTTTGATGTTGGCCTGTATTGCAGAGGACTATCAATAGAGTGACTTTCAAACTCATTGTTGCTCTGTGTACAGATGTACACAGATAATCCTCTACTTACAACAGTTCACTTAGAGATTGTTGGAAGTTACAACAGCACTGAAAAAAGTTATGACCATTTTTCACCCTTATGACCATTTCAGCGCCCTTTATCAGGTGATCTCCTTTTATGATCTGCTGACAAGCAAAGTCAGATTCATTTAACAGCCATGTTACTAATTTAACAATTGCAGTGATTTGCTTAACAAATGTGGCAATAAAAGTCTTAAAATTGGGCAGAACTCACCTAGAAACATAAATTTTGTGCTTAATTGTGGTCATGAGGACTACCTGCATATGCTTATTTCTGTCCAATGGACCAATAAAAGGACCTGATCTTGAAATATTGGGTAGGGTGGGAAGCTTTTCAAAAGAGGAAAGTAGCTTAATGAGGGAAATAGACAAAGAACTGAAGCAAGTACTATCTTGTAATCTCCAGGGGATAGTTTATAAATTATTAAATTAAAACATAAGTTTATGACTTCTTTGGGGCCTTTCTGAATGAGATAAGCTGGTCTTTTCTGCATAATTTTCCCATTTCCCTAATATCTTCTTATATAATGAGGCTGCTAATAATGGATCTGAATCAGCCTTTCATAAAATGGTGGGATTAACTTCTTATAAATGTTACCTTTCCTAGTGTTGCAGCTGTTCTGTAGTTCACCCAAAGCAGCTCTTCGGTACGCAGCTGTCCGAACCCTCAACAAGGTAAGATGGATCAAAGAAACTGAATTTGAAATCTAGAACACAGCTGTTAGTGATTGCTTTCTAAAGACTCAGTTTGGAATACAAGCATCTACACTCCAGCTACTAGGTATTCTAAATTCCTCATGTGAGGCCCAACTTCTACTGTTGTGGCAGTGTAGGTAGATCAGGAGATCAATCCTTGGTTTGTGTTTACCTATGAAATTCTTTTCATGAGGGAAGCTTAATTTTCTTACACTTTGCTATCTTTTTGGCTACTTAGCAAAATTTATTTTTCCAAATAAAGGCAGAATGGCTCTTGCATTTCAAATTTAAAAAGAGAGATATAGATTGCTTTATATCCCAGGATCAAACTTTGGTTGAAGATCCTGGTGAATAATCTGTAATTTTACCAAAAAGAGAAGAATCTGGATTAGTGGAAATTGTGGTCTAAAAAGAATAGGATTGAAGGGATGGAGACTGAATGTACTGGAAGCAGGCAAAGAGGTAGGGGAATGAGGAGCACATGGCTAGACACATTCCTGGCATAATAGATGTATCTGGCTCACTCTCTCCAGATATACATTTGATTTATGTACATTTAACTGTATGTCAAGACTGCCAAGCTCACCTGATTTGCATGAGGTGAATTTTTTTTTCTCTATTAGGTTGCCATGAAGCATCCATCTGCTGTAACTGCCTGTAACCTTGACTTGGAGAATCTCGTGACCGACTCTAACCGCAGCATTGCTACTTTGGCCATCACAACTCTACTAAAAACTGGCAGTGAGAGTAGCATTGACCGTCTCATGAAACAGATCTCCTCATTCATGTCTGAAATCTCAGATGAGTTCAAGGCACGGAAAATCATTTGTGTTAGGCTTTCATCATGTTTCATGTTGTGGGATGGAGTGGCTGACGGGGACAATTCTAGTAGTTCATGGTGCTTGTTTAATTCCCCAATTTCGTCTAGGTTGTGGTGGTTCAGGCTATCAGTGCCCTCTGTCAAAAATATCCACGCAAGCATGCGGTCCTCATGAGTTTCCTCTTCACAATGCTACGTGAGGAGGTAAGCTTGGCTGCTTGAGACATTGTCGTTCTTGATTCTTTGCTGTGCAGAAAAACAAGAGCCGTCCTTCCTTCCTTCCTTCGAAATTTTAAAGGGAATTTGTAACAGAGCAGTTTTCAATTTCAAAAGGTTATAGCAAAACCAGGAGCCACTCTCCTTCAGTCAATGTTCTTGGTGACTGACAAATCAAGGTATCTGCACCTACAATACTGTAGAGTCAGATAAGTGGCTAGACCAAATCTGCACCATTGTATATTTCACAGGCAGATTGGCTGCCAGCAATTCTCTGATAAGTAATAATTGATTAACTCAGCCTGAAACACATGTTTAAGCATATGGGATTATTTCTACAACAGAACTGTTAGCCCCATTTCCAGAAATTTCCTTTCATTTTCTAAAAAATTTATAAGCATATCTGTGCATGCTGAAGGCTTGTCCCCAGCCTATAGAAAAAGAATAAATCAGTGCCTATTTACCAAGGCATGAAGCAGAGAGGAGTAAGAAATGGACAAAGATTGTTCAAAGAAAAATACAGTACAATGCTTAAATCTGAGTTAAAAATTAGCAACCAATATTTATTAGGAACTTTAATTTTGTGTACTAACAGGCCAGTTTTCTAGGACTACATAGCATAGTTAGATTTTTTTTTTACTTTTCACCAGTCATTTGCAGATAAAAGAGTTCACATAGTGGAGGTCTTTCTAGAAGAGTAGGACAGAAATGTAAATTCTTCCAAGGACAGAAATACAGATTGATCCACAATATCTTGGGTAGTTCGATCAGATGTCTTCTATGTAATTCTTGCAGTACCCTTTTACCATAAGATCAAGTCATAGGAAAAACATGAGTTCATACAGATTTTAGTCTGGGCTTGCCTAGACGTGTCTTCTGTATAAAATAATGAGCTAGCACGTGAGGAAGGAAAGCCTAATCTGTCATAGTACTGATCCATTCTCCTTACTACTTAGGGTGGCTTTGAATACAAACGTGCCATTGTTGAATGTATCATCAGTATCATAGAAGAAAATGCTGAAAGCAAGGAAACCGGCCTCTCCCACCTATGCGAGTTCATTGAGGATTGTGAGTTCACTGTCCTGGCCACCCGAATTCTCCACTTGCTGGGCCAGGAGGGGCCAAAGACCAACAATCCTTCAAAATATATTCGCTTCATTTACAACAGAGTCGTCTTGGAACATGAAGAAGTCAGGGCAGGTATGTGCACTAGAAAAAAACCTTCCCCTAAGAAAGTTGGAAACTTAAGTAGGTTATTGGTCTACCTGTTTTCACCAGCATCATTTCTAACTGATGACAGCTTTCTGGTATCCCCAAGCAAGGATTTTTTACAGTTATGCTTGAGAGATCCTGAAATTGGATATTAGACCATCTGCTTGCAAAGCAAATTGAGGCACAGCTTTTCTCCTTTGGATTTGTTGTAGCAATTGAAACTCTTTTATTACCAGATTATAGGCAACATTTTGAAATAAACACATTTTACTTAATTTCTTCTGAATTTCATCCACATGCAGAAAATAGTTGAATGGGTTGGGAGAATTGCTAATTGAGCTAAATGGGAATCAGATACTAGGACATATTCAAATGCTTTAAAGAATGCTACCTGTTAGCTTTTAGATAAGTACTCAAATCCATTTAACCTTGGAACTATTTTAATAATGTTTTACTAATCATATTTGGGTACAGTAACATAATCAAATAGCTAAATAAATGATGAACATCTAAGTATCTTTCTTGTCTTTTCCAATTACCAATTACTTCCTGCCTTTTTTTCACTTGTTTGCAGGTGCAGTAAGTGCTCTGGCTAAATTTGGGGCTCAAAATGAGGAAATGCTACCAAGCATCCTAGTGTTACTGAAAAGGTGAGCTTGCCTACATGGCAAATTTGGAAAAGGTAAAGATGCCCTGTAAAAATGTAGAGTTAGTGAAAATTTAGCCTGTGCTGAAGTGACAATAAGTCTCTAAAGATGATTAGATTCCATATCACTGGGACATATTGAGCATATTTTTGAGCCAATTTCAAGTTGTCTTACATGGCCAGTGATTGGGATTTTATCATAATTTCTAAAAAAATGTTAATGCAAGTCTATAAGTCTTCAACTTATAACCAGTCCCTTAGCTACTGGTCAAAGTTACCACAGATTCCCCAGATGCTACTTATGACCCAGTTTCAAAGGTATGGCAGCCGCAGCACCTCCACAGTTATACATCCACCCAAGGGAGATCAGGCCAGCACTAGCAGGTGCAAATTGGCTGCAGCTTGCAAGCTTCTAGCTTTCTTCCATTGCAGATACAAAATATCTTGTCCCACTTCTATGTAAGAAAACAAAATTAATTATCTGCACAATTATTTATCCTGTTGTTGTATAAGGTGCCATGTTACATTTCCCAATTGGTTATACTGATTTAATGTTCTGGATGGGGTGGGGGTCTAAGGAAATATACATTTCTCCAGTTAAGTAGAACTCTGTTTTTTTTAAAAAAAAAAAAAAACTTCAGGTGTGTGATGGATGATGACAACGAAGTCAGAGACAGGGCTACCTTCTACTTAAGTGTATTGGAGCAGAAGCAAAAGGCCCTCAATGCTGGCTACATTCTGAACGGTATTCTAAGTTCATTCATTATTCTTTGCTTTTTTAAAAAAAATTAAGTCACTCATATTGATGGAACTTGACACATGATAAAACAGGTAAATGTTGAAAATTGTCAAATGCCCTCAAGTTTACAAAATTAATCTCAGAGTAAACATTTATAAATCGCAATACTTTGGCATGGTGGAGGCTGTAAAGCTATAAACCCATTTGAAAATAGAAATTTTAAATTGCTTAAGAACTAAAACCAATCTGATATAGTTTGCTCAGACTTCAGAACGTTATAAATTGCCTACATTCAGACTAGAAAGAAAGTCATACACTGGAGTATTTTTCTCTGTCCAAAGCCTGGAATGTTAATTTTGAATGAAAATTTTACTCATAAATTTCTTTTTGTTTACTGCCTTGAATACTTTTCAAGTTGCATACGTCCAATCCAGTGGTGGTATTTGACCGGTTCTGCCCAGTTCTGGAGAGCCGGTAGCAGGCAATGAGCAGTGGAGACCGAACCATTTCTCTTCGCTGCTCCACCATTCCTTCTCCATTATACAGTTGTTTTGTTTGAGATGGCTGAGATAAGCATTCATTTGTGTGACCATCATTCTCATAGCTGATGTCTTTGCTGGTCTACATGCTGAGGTGTCACTGAGCAGGGCAAATGCCTTCATTTCATAATCTGTGTTCATCCCCACTGCTGAGCAGCCTTAATTCTTTATTTACACATTTATCAGTTTCTTCTCTAGGGCTGGAAAAGGAACAAGGCCAGAGTGAACGCATGATTTCCTATCCCTGTTTATCTCCCAGTAGCTGGCACATTTTGGTTTAGGGCAACATTCAGACTTCAAATGCCTGCTGGCTGGAAGTCTTCCTTTGATTGATGACATTGATGGTTCTTTTTGAATGCCTGTGGGTTAACAGACATGGCTAACACAACATGAAGAGCAAAGGAGGCAGGCACCCTTATTTCCAGCTCTGCTCTTCCTTGGTAGTAACATCTGCTGTCTGAGCAGACTCTACTTTGATGCATGGCAGAGCCCCCTTGTCCCCTGTGTTTGAGCCTTAAATGGAAACAGATGTATACCAGATGTTGCTTCTTCTCTGGGGATTAGAGGCTTCCAGGAGTAATCTTTTTGAGGATATGCTTGCAATACATTCATTAGGCTAAACAAATAGATGTCACTGCATTTGGAAATAGACACAAGAAATGAAGCTGGGGTGGGGTGGGGTGTTTCAACTGGTAAAAACCCAAGCTCTTTCAATGGAAGGCACCATATGGAATTACAGAAGAAGAGAGTTGCCTGTGCTCTAATTTAGAAGTTGGCAAAGACCTGTCTAGTTTCTTGCAGTTTGCACGGGCTCAATATTTCTCTTTTCCAGGATTGACAGTATCTATCCCTGGCTTAGAGAGGGCTCTGCATCAATATACTCTGGACCCCTCTGAAAAACCCTTTGACCTCAAGTCCGTTCCCTTGGCAACCACCCCCATCATTGAACAAAGAGCAGGTAAGAGAAAGCAATAGCAATAGCAGTTAGACTTAGATAATGCTTCACAGCACTTTTCAGCCCTCTAAACAGTTTTACACAGTCAGCATCTTGTCCCCATCAATCTGGATCCTTATTTTATCGACCTCAGAAGGATGGAAAGCTGAGTCAACTTTGAGCCGCTCAGAATTGAACTCCTGAAGTGAGCAGTGAGTTAGCCTGCAGTACTGCATTCTGACCACTGCGTCACCAGGGCTCGTATCTTAGAAGGAAAGCCATTTTCCTGGTCTAGCATTGAATCCAGCTTTTTTAATCCTTATCAAAATGTTTTGGGTTTGATTTGAGAGGAGAAATTTTGGCAGTAGTATCTGTGAAGTTATGAACTGTTTGTCTTTCGTTTTATTGGACATCTGGGAGTACTTCATTTCCCCTTCAATAGCCAAGTGATTTACGTTTTATCATTAACCTTTTGCATTATTATTGTTATAGACCTGCTACCAGTTCCAATTATCTCCTATTTCTCCTGCCACCCACCCTTTTTTACCCCCTCAGTGGCCTGAAAAAAACAAACTTTGTTGCAGGAGGATGTGCATCCCTTTTACCACAGCATACCTTTCAGTCCTGTTTTCTGCATTTTTATACTATTATTTTGTTTTTCTTGCCTTTCCACAGAAAACACTCCCACCTCTGCAGTGAAACAATTAGACAAAATAGCAACAACCCGGCAAGATATATTCCAAGGTTTGTTTGCCCTGGTTATTGTATAAAACAAAGTATAATGCAGGATGTTGTTTTGTTCTACATTCAACCCTTTTGATTTCTGGAATCTCACTTCCTTTACAGTCCAAAAGTTTAGAAAATCGCCAGTCTATTTTCTTCTTCTTCTAACGCACCTTATAAAAAGGTTTGCTTTATTCCAAGTTCACAGATAAGGAAACTGAGGCTGAGAGAAAGCAATTAACCTAAACCTATGGCATTGACTCAGATTTCTCCAAACCCCAAATCCTCCAGGCGCAGTGGATTACAACTTCCATCTTCACTATTGCATTTGATGGGGCTTATAGTTCACTTGATCTGGAAGGCGTGGGATGAAAAAGGATGCTTTAAGATCATGATAGAGTAGGCCCTTGAATCTGGATATTATCCAACACTCCAGAGACCGGATTACCTTTACATGTTGAAGCTGAGCATTTTTGTTTATATGTAGTACTTGGAGATTATTTCCAAAGCAGGATGCCACAAAATACTCAACCAAGCTTCTAAAATGAGGAATTTCCATCTATATTTTTTGGTTAAGAACTTCTATATTTAATGTAGATTTCAGCCCATAGTAGAGGAAAAAGTCCCCCCCCCCATATTACTAATTTCCAATAATAGGAGAACTAGTTTGGTCAAGACACCGGACTAGAAACTGAGAAATTTTAAATTCTAATCCTGTCTTAAGAATGAAGCCAACTGAGTGACTTTGGGACAGTTATTCTCTCTCACCCTAGAAAGAAGTTAAGGCTAAACACTTCTGAAAAAGGGAGTTGTCCAGATAGTTTCCATAAGTCAAGAATAACTCAAACAAGAAAATTCAAATAACCCCAAAGAAAGAAAATTCCAGTCAACAGTCTTTTTAGATCTTAAAAGTTTTAAAACAACTTCTCCAATTGCTTTCTAATTGTTTTCCTACTTTGAAAGAGTCGAATCTAGACCTTCAATTTTTAATAAATATATTCAGAGTAACACAAAGTACTTCCTCAAGAGTATATAATGCAATAATGACATTAGCACAGAAAGAATTAACTTAGAAAAACCAGCTCATATTTGGAGACAGGTTCTCGACATACTTTCCTGGGAATACTGTATTTTTTTTAAACTTACTGTTTATTTATACGGAAAAGTCTTTTGACATTGAACCTACCAGATGTAATCTGAAAACTTTCTCCTTTTACCCTTATCTCAATAGAAATATAGTAATTATACTAAACAGAAACCTGTGTATGGTTTTTTTTGCTCTCTTTTAGAGCAATTGGCTGCTATTCCAGAGTTCCAGGGTCTTGGCCCACTGTTCAAGTCCTCTTCTGAGCCAGAGGCACTTACAGAATTGGAAACAGAATATGTGATCTATTGTACAAAGCACACATTCTCCAAACACATGGTGTTCCAGGTAGGTGGTGTTGAAAAAAGCATTTGCACAATTAATCTCACTGATATTGCTGGAATATATCTATTGTACATATATCGTACCAAATAGCTTTCAGTATAATATCAATAAATTAATTCTTTAGCTACACTTTGTGCATGTAGTTGGACTTTTGTATTCTTTTGTATTCCCTGATTGTAACGTTGCACAACCAGCTAATATTATAGGAATAAAACTGAGGCACACAGTAATGCAACTCTAAAGGAAAGATTGAAAAAAAAATCTGCTTTGTTTTCATCTGAATGTGCTTATTTGAATCATCCAAGACAAGAATAAGGTTTAGGAAAAACAAGTCATATTTTTAAAGTCTGGTTTATGTCTTCAGATCCTGTTTATCTCTAAATGCAGCATGTCCAGGTTTGCTAAACCCAGGTTTTAACAAAAGGGGGTAAAGTTAATTAAAAATGGAAACAAAAGGCTGTCAATTTTTATTGCTGTCCTGTTGCAAAGGGACTATACAGTATTGTATGAATTCTCAGATCATATTCACTCTTTAACATTACGCTATCTAGAGGCTGAAGATCTCCTTTAGCTTGATAGGTTAAAACTGCAACGAGATGATTAAACCAGTTGACAAGCAGAAGTTCTTTTTATAATTCCTTCCACTGCAATGTTTCTACCAAAGTGACTGAAATTTTTAGCATTAGTCAAATGCAGATATACCTAGAGAAGTACCCTTCTTCAGTTCAGCTAATATGTGTGGTGTCAGGGATTTCCACTTCAATGTGTGGAGGGTGAAGGATGTGTGTTTGTGTTTATTTTCACAGTCATGGTCATGATGCGCACTGAAGATGGTGTTTGATTTCGTTGTACGAGGTGCAATGACAATAAATTAAACTAAACTAATAAATATAGAGACTCTGAAATTATATTGATTGTAATAAGCACACTAGGCCAAGAAGACATCCTTTTGAAAATACTATTTTAAACTTCATGGACCACTTGCTCACTTAGAAATGAATATGCTGCAGATTGAACGCTTACAATGTTTCAATTATACCGAAGAAAAGCCTCTTCTCCTGGAAACTGCCTTCTAGAAAGATCGTGTAAATGGAGGATTTTCCCCTGAATATATTTAATGCTGACTATAAAAAACATTTTGGAAGTTGCACAGACTATACACAGGTAGTCCTCAGCTTACGAGCACAGTGGATCCCAAAATTTATGTTGCTAAGTGAGACATTTGTTAAGTGAATTTTGCCCCATTTAACAAACTTTCTTGCCACATTTGTTAAGTGAATCACCGCCATTGTTAAATTACTAACACGGTTGTTACATGAATCTTTCTTCTCCATTGATTTTGCTTGTCAGAAAAGGTCATGAAAGGTGATCACATGACCCCCGGGACACTGTGACTGTCATAGATATGAGCCTGTTGCCAGGCGTCTGAATTTTGATCACGTGACCATGGGGCTGCTGTAATGGTCATAGGGGTGAAAAATAGTCATAAGTCACTTTTTTCAGAGCTGTTTGAATGGTCAGTAAGTGAACTGTTGTAAGTTGAGGACAATCTGTACAGTACTGCAGGCAAACATTGCTTGCTTCTTTTTTAAAAAAATTAACCCTGGGTTTCCTAATGCCGGAAATCTTGTTTTATGCTCTAATGTGCTTTCACTTTTTCTGATAGTTTGACTGCACAAATACACTGAATGATCAGATTCTGGAAAATGTCACAGTGCAAATGGAGCCAACGGAGGGATATGAGGTCATTGCTTATATACCTGCCAAAAGCTTGCTCTACAATCAGCCTGGTACTTGTTACACTTTGATTGCTTTGCCTGAAGAGGATCCCACAGCAGGTAACAATATTTTCTCTTTTCCCTTAATTTATCGGCCTGTTTAATATGTAGGGGGTGAATGTAGCCATAGCTAGATCCATTTCTAGAGGTCCAAAATAAATGTTGGATTTTTAAAAACTCATTTCAAAAATCAAGAGTTAATAAAAAAAATCAACTCTAAATGAGATTGTTCATTTTTTTTACACAACATTCAATAAACTCATATACTCAAAAAGAGATGGTAATTTGATCAGTATGTGTCCGTAGAAAACATAGATCGCTTTGCAAGCAAAGTTCACTGCGCCATGGGGTTTAAAATAGATAAATAAATAAATGGGAACAGAATAGGCCTAGGTGGTAAGCAAGGAAGAACAGTTATTTCTAGAGTTCACAGTGGTGTGACATCTGGTTTGTCCTCTTTGCAGTGGCTTGCACTTTCAGCTGCATGATGAAATTCACTGTGAAAGATTGCGATCCAAACACCGGTGACACTGAGGAAGAGGGCTATGAGGATGAATATGTGGTAAGACAGAACTTCAGAATCTGCAGGCTATATCGACTCTTTCCACTTTTATCAGGTCAGGTGATACCCCGTGTGGTGTCACCATACTGTGAAGTGTGAGCCACTGGATAAAATATTTTATTTCATCAGTGGAGCCCTATACTATGATCTGATAAATGCTTTCATTAATTACACAAGGAAATTGTTCCACCTTGTACACCAGTTGGTTTTATCTGGGCCAAAGAATGAACTTAATGAAGACTCTGAGCTTATAAGTGGATAAGTCTCAGCATGTCCAGATGGCTCAGAGTCAGACCTGGAGCTTCTTTGCTGGAGCTCTGCCTAATAGACTTGGCTAGTAGCCAGCTGATTTTGAAGACATAATCTTGAAGGTACTTATGTCTCCCTCAGGGTCATGTGCTCTAAGCTAGCCATAAATAATATGGCTTGTTCCAATTGTCTTTGTGTATAAGAATTTGAGCAGAATACTTTGGAAAAGAAAATCCTTGTCATTTAAACTGCACATGAAACTAATGTTTTTCTCTCTCTCTCTCTTTCTTTTTGCCTCTGAGATAAGAATACGTCAGTGTATGTTTTCCAGCAAATGTCCCTTACAAGCTGAGTGTAGAGCAATGAGGATGATCACTAGGTTTATTCCTGTGTTGGAAGCTATTGATTTGTTGTCTGTTTTAAGTACAGTGGAATTGCCACTGTGAACTTTTAAATTGGAAAGACAAGTATTGGTTTGCTCCCAGCCAGCATGTGGAAGTGCAGGACTGTGCAGGTTCTTGCTAAGCCATGATAAATTAAAATAGATGACTTAAGAAAAATCCTGCTTTATGTAAGCTGATTGGAGCTTTCCAGAGTCAAAGTGCCTGTCAAGTGTATTGGTTTAACCTTAATGCTGATAAGGAACTCTCATTAATATAAAACGTCAGTGGAAAAGCAACACTTATCAGCTAGTCTCTCTTGGAAAGAAGAAAGGAATGCCTGGGTGTTCAATGGTCTGGGCTTAACAATTGTCCTTTCTTGATCAGTCTATTATAATTACAAAGTACTTGAGTGGCATGGTGGCCTGGGGTGAAGACGCTTGGCTCCCATGTTTAATCCTAGGTAGCAGCAGGTATTTCTGTCTTAGGGCACAAATAAAAAAATATCTGCTACGAGCTCCACATGGTGTCAGGAAGGGCACCCAGCCAGTAAACACTCAGCTCCATCCAGTCACCCAACTCTACCCCAAATGAAGGGATTGCAGGGTCATAAAAAGGGAGTTTGTGCCATGTATTTCTTGACAAAAGCATTGTATGTACAGGGGAGCAAGCATACCCCTCTTCCTTTTTCCATGCTGATTCAGATTTCCAGCCCGTTGAATGCATAAACCAGGCCTGGTATGTGTACATGAAGTTGGGGTTTGAAAAGTTTCTTATTCTAGAGATTTAAAGCTTGTACCTGAATCATGCAAATTCATGGAAACTTTAGTATCAGAATGCTGAAGAATTAGAATTTTTTTTAAATTATAAATATGGTAAAATATGGTTTTCGTCTTTTGAAATGTCTCAAGTTGCAATCAGATGCCGAGCATCTGTAATTCCTAACAAGGAAGAGGCAGAGTTTGAATATTGTAGAAATCAAATATTGTAAAGCCCTGGAAGCCTCTTCCTGCACATCATTTGCTATGTTTGATTAAACATTTCCCCATATGGATTAAGAATATCCTATACTTCTTTCCCCACACATCTCAAAAGAAATGAAACTTAAGCTGCCATATTTTACGTGAGATATAAACTATTCTAATGCCATATTTAATGAAAGGCCAGGTGAAATCATTGCAAATGCATCTATTTCCCATTTAATGCTTGGAGAGGAAAAGAAGAAAAAAGTATGTACAGCCGACTTCCACTAAATGGCCAGTTTTGTTAAATGTAACATTTGAAGCTGCCTTTTCTTAGCTAAGCCATTGCTCCATTAACTCAAACCAATGTCTGCTGACTAGAAGTGGTTCTCCAGGTGAAACCCTTTTTTTTCTTTTGAGTAATATATTTTTATAACTATATAATTTGGGGTATATAATTTTATGGTTTCCTGTCTAAGCAGGGGGTTGGACTAGAAGACCTCCAAGGTCCCTTCCAACTCTGTTATTCTATTTTATAACTAGAATTAAAACTGTAATTCTGTAGTTTAAATCTCTGAAAACATTTCAGTATTTGAATGTTTGGAGACCTTTCGGCTGAATGCTTTTCAAACTCAATTTACTGTACCACCACTCAGTAATACAACACAGTGCTATTACTAGTAATGCCCACAAGTTTTTTACTGCTTTCACCAAAATTGACAAAAGCAAAGATGTATTTTTGGAGCACATGTGTTAACAATAGCTGTAGAATATGAGGCATGGCTTGCATTGCAGTGCGGCTCTTCCCAACATGATTCTTGTTGCTTCTGCAGACAGACACCACTGTTCTGTTGCCCTTTAAAATTTATCAGTATTGCAGCAGAGAAAGGATAGAGGTTTTCAAATAATTATTGTTGCTTTAAAATCTGGTCAGTTTTCTAACGAGCCCACCAAGAAGCTCAAGGGTAATTTACTGTCAAATGTCTTCGTTAGCTAGAAGATCTGGAAGTAACTGTAGCAGATCACATCCAAAGAGTTTTGAAGCCAAATTTTGCAGCAGCTTGGGAAGAAGTTGGTGATGAATTTGAAAAAGAAGAGACTTTCACATTGTCTACTGTTAAAACACTGGAAGGTAGGTAAACAAAAAACCTAAGTGCACAGCTCTTGATTCCTGTGCCTTAAAAAATTAATAGTGTAAACTGGATTGTTACAGGGTTTCCTGTACATATTGGGGGGCCTTCTCAAAGTAGATCAGGCATGATCACAGGGAAATGTATTTGGGAAAACATTAAACATTGCTCTTCTGTTTTAAGTGGAAATCTTTTAATTTTGATACATGCCATTCAACCTGAAAATATTCGCCAGTGGCAGGTTGAAAGAAATCTACAATGGTAGTTCAGAATTCTATTGTCTGTTAATATGATTGCAAAAATAGGTCAAAAGTATTTATTCTGGAACCAGCACCTCAAGGAACCATGGTGATCTCAGTAATTATAGACTGTTTGAAAATTTATAGTAATTATAGACTGGTTGCAAATTTCCCCCCTAGGCCTTTGAAATGAATAAATGACTGTTTTTGACGGGGAAAAATTGAAATCTTTGATTTTGATGTTCATACAAATTGATGTTTAAAATACTTTGATTCCACCAAATTAATACAACTGAAGATGGTGAGTCCCCCCGCCTGCAAGACCTCTCACTTAAGTTTCACTCTTTCCCAGGACTCAGATTGTATGAGTTATTGAACTGGTCACAAGTGAAGTCACCGGGTCTCTGCACTTTACTTTTTGTTTCTTGGAGCAAATGGCATCTACTTTCTCTGGGAATAGGGAACCTAATAATCTAGTTATGTAGCAAACTGAACACAGTAAGTATAAAGGAACAAAAAAATGAGCTCCGATGTTTTTATTTCTGCAGAGGCAGTGGGCAATATTGTGAAATTCCTGGGAATGCAACCATGTGAGCGGTCAGATAAAGTCCCTGATAACAAGAACTCACATACCTTGTACCTGGCAGGTGAGTTTTTCTGTGCCCTCTCTGTTGATTTTAATGGGGTCTTTTTGTTTTTGGATGTCTGAATCAGTGTTGACACCTGGTGGCTGCTGGACAAGTCCCTGCAGCTTTCTTGGCAAGATTTCAGAAGTGGGGTGCCATTGCCTTCTTCCCAAGGCTAAGCAAGAGTGGCTAAGTCATCCACCTGGCTTTGTGTCTATGCCAGGACCAGAACTCCTGGTCTCCCAGTTTCTAGCCTGGTGCCTTGAAAGCAAACTGATTTCTCTAAATTGGTTTATTAGTCCATTCTAAGTGACTGAAAAGTAGTTTTCATATTAGCTGGATGTAAATTCAGTCCTTTTTCTCAGAGAACTATACAGCCATCCAGTCTACCTCGGTAATATCAACTTAGCACACGCTTTCTCTACTAGGAAAGATATTTCATGATAATAGTCCTACAGATGTGGAAGCAGTATCATAAATTTTATTCAAGCTTTATTCTAATATATGTAGATATTTGTAATAAATACGCTAGTGCCAGAGATCCCAGTGGAATGAGATCTCTTATCGGTACATGATATCCATCACAATGCGATCTAAGTCACAATTCATTGACTGTCAGTGTTCTAAATATTCTTAATGATATAGAAGGGTAATTATCTCCTTTTTTAAAAGAGCATTTAGTTTGCTAATTTACTTTAATTCCTTCAAGAATGGAAACAGTTCTAGCCATACATGCTGATAAAAATATTACTGTCTTTGATCTGCTACACAGGTGTATTTCGAGGTGGTCATGACCTCTTGGTTCGTTCTCGCCTTGTCCTCACAGAAATTGTGACAATGCAAGTCACAGCTCGGAGTAAAGAAGAACTTCCCGTGGATATTGTTATGAGTTCTGTTGGCTAAGCTCATTTTCAGGCTATCTGTTTCAGACACCAAGGCTGAAGGGAGAATTAAAGGTCTCTTTCTACTGCTCTGGACATTGGGAGAAATATTAGAACGCTGGCACCAGTTCTTTCTCTAATTAGAAATGAAAGCTACGTGTGTAAGTTTATAACCACAAGAATGTTTCTGTGAAATACTGAATTGGTTATTTCTTCGTGTTTGCCAGGCTACTTCAAAAGAACATCCCTTTTATACCAAGGTGCCTAATAACACTAAAGTAGTTGGCTCTAGTTCCTGTTTTAGTCACCATGTGTCAGATTCCTTATGTGATTAGCCAGACTCTTTACAACTGGGGCAATTGTTATATTTCATGACCTTTCTAAACCCTTACATATATATTATAAAATAAAAATATGGATTTTATTCCAGCAACGCCGCTACTCTCAAGAATATGAAAATACATTTTATCTCTTGCACAAATGATATTGAAAAGACATTCACAACACACAGGTCTAGTTGATTTGGTTGTTTTATATCAAACTTGCCTTCATTTTCAAATTGTTAATATCAGTTGTAGGCAGCCTGATTTGAAGAAGTCCTAGGGTGAAAAAGAATCAGGAATATGAATTTCACAAGAAACTGGCAGATAATCTAGAGTAAAAAACCAGAATGAAAAAATGCTGAAGCATCCTTTATTTCAAATCATGTCATTTTTCTGTATTGATATTTAGAAAAGGTGATATTTAAGGAAATTGCTCATTTTCATATTGCTTCATGTTTCTAAAAGTCATTTGTTTCAGTAAAACAGCCTAAGTTGTTCTATGAGTGGGCATCTATTACTGTGGTTGGGTTTGATTTTGTAAAGGCTGATATTGTGCTTTGTTCTGTTCTGACGAGATTTTATACATAAATGTTGTGCCATATAATGAAAGAATAAACAATGTTTAACATTCTTATAATTTGCATAGCTAATTATCAGAGTTGTGATAAAATGAGGTGTACTACTAGATTTAGGTTCTTCATGGTTTTAGCAAAAATAGATTAGAATGGCGATATAAGATCATCCATTATGCTAATAGTATATATTCAACAAAGTTTTAATCCAGTTTCTCCAACCTGATATCCCTCAAAGTGTAAGGACTTTATAAATTTTGTACTAGCTCTAGAATCATATAAATTAAGAACCTTATTGCTGAATGGACAAGTTTGATGTTGAATGGATTATATACTGTGCAAACAAAACTAGAGTTTTTTCAGGGTTGAGTGAAAATCTATCATGGATGTCCTGCAAAATTTAAATTTGAACTTTAAAAAATAATATCTATCAGATTAACAAGATATGACTTGAGCAATATTCCATATTTGCCCTATAATATCTAATCCTAAAGAAAAGTAGGAAGAGGCAGAGAAATATATCTAAATAGTATAAAGAAGGATGAGAGACCACTTTACACAGGTATGAACATACTATATAATTACTACAAAGAAGATAGAGATCGACAAAGGTAAAGAAATGTTATTCATGTATGAATAACTATACAAAAGACCACCCAAATTGCTGATAGACATAAAGCTAGACCCAGATATTTTGGAAATCGTAGTTAAATGGGTTCTACAACATATTGCTGACCACAAAGCTGCAAGAATTGATGAAATGCCAGCAGAACTGTTTAGAATAGAAGCCTCCAAACTTTTCAGCTTGTTGACTCTTTCATGAAATTTCAGATTGTTCATCAACCCCTAAACATTTATTATGTGAAAATACAGTATTTGGATAGTCCCCCAACCCATGAAGTCAATATTCACTACTTTGGGGAACCTTAGTTTAAAATCATGCAAAATTAGGCAGTTCAATGTACTGCTTGTAATTGGTAAGCAGATATGGAAACAGTTGAGGTCAGAGAACTGAAAAAGATCAAGCTGTAGTCTAGTATCCAGTAAGGCAGTGTTACAAAAAGCTTCATCTACCTCTATGTACTGCAGAATTTGTATGGTAATCAGCAACAGTAAAAATGGAATATGGAGCAACTAATTAGCTTAGAATTAAGAAAGGGGTATGACAAAGTTATATACTGTTAACCTATTAAACTTAAATGCAGATATATAGAGTGAAATGCTGGACTAGAAAAAAAATTAGTATTACAAATGTTGAAAGAAACACTGTACGTTACTAACAACCTGAGGTGTGCAGATAATTCCATACTGGCTGCTGAACACAGACTTAAGAGCTATTTTGTAAAAGGTGAAAGAAGAACCTTCAACAAAAGATTATTTAAGTCTCTCTTGCTTCCAGTAACTGATTGATACCACTAGCACATCTTTGGTTGCTAGTGCCAGCCCAATGCAAATGAGTGAAGAAATAGTAGTACAATGGTCTTTGACCTATGACCTTCACTTAGTGACTATTTGAAGTTATGGCCGATTCTAAAAAAGTTACATACTACCCGGATTCAAAATTGTGATGGCTGCCCCCCTCCCCAGGGTCACATGACTGCATTTTGGATGCTCAGCAACTGCCCCACATTTATACCTATTTGCAGTGCTCTGCAGTCACGATTGTGATTTATTATATTTTTCCCAGAAATTTTACTTTTACTTCATTTTCAGCAAAAACTGCCCTATAGCAAACAATGCTTGCTTAATTGCTGCCATGTTCATGTAACAACCACTGAAAAAAAATTGTGAAATCAGACATGGTCACGTTAACTCATTTAGTGACCATCATGGCTTATGATCAAAATTGCATATTCAATTAGCTATAAGTTAAGGACTGCCTGTAATATAGACTATATCTTTCTGGGCTCCAAAATTGAGATATTCACTTTATTATGAAATAAAAAGCATCTGTTTTTTGGGAGAAAAATTAACATATCAATAAAACACCTGTATTAAAATTAAATCAGTAACGTTACAAGAAGTTGTCACTATTATAGGCCTATATTCAATTTACATAGAAAATATCTTAGAAGTTGATGCATGTATCTCAAATATTAAAAGCATGTATCTTGCAGAATGCTGCCTCATCTATTCTGTGACATGGATAAAATATAATATTTGTATCATAACAATTTGCAAAACACTCTGAATGCAGACAAAATTAATTCACGGTGTAGGCTATAGACACTGAGTCTATTTTAAGGAAGTGTAGAAGTGAATGGGTGAAGTGTTAACTCTGTGCATCAACCCATGAACTCTTTTTTTCTGGGGCAAACAAAATAGTCACGATTTCATTTTATATAATGTTTTACACTTAAGCCAGTCCTTCTGAAGCTGTAATAAAACTATGGCGAGAGTTCTAAGGACACATTGAGGCATGCTTATTGAATATACTGGTTTGTTTTAATTTTTTTTTTTTAGAAATGATTATAAGAAAAAGTTGGCCACAAATTGACAACATGCATTTAATTATATCCTACAGTTACCATATCTGGTTTGTAGACATATGGATGATCGTTGGTTGGCAGCTGAGTTAGAAATGTATATTCATATGTATTCAACGGTGTTTTGCAGTCCCAAGTATTATAGTTCTGACACAAAAGTTATGCAGGGTGTTAGGATGCTTCTGTAAAGCCTCTCCGAAGTAGAGAGAAATGACTTAAATATAGTGGATGATTATTAGTAGCTTTATATGTGATTGGAGAAGAATTCTCCTGTCTTGATTTCTGAACCGTAATTCCCCACCACCACCACGCACAACCTCCGCCCTACAGATTCAAATTCGGAGTTCCAAAATTCGGTTTGGGAATGAAGTTTTGCTTTTCGAGCCGGAGCGGTGGAGGCAGATCAGACAAACTTGGCATCGTTCGGCATCAAAAAGAAATAAATAAAAGTTGCCGGGATGAAGACCTGGAAGCAACGCGGACCGACCTGGAGGACGAGCATCTTTGCGGGGGGGGGGGGGGGGGGGGGGCGGCGCGGCCCTCGGGGGGGGGGGGGGGGGGGGGGGGGAGAACTTGGTGGCCGCCGCGGAGCGGGTGACTTCCGAGGCGGCGTTCTGAAAAACAAGCTGAGCCACAAACCGGAGCCCTCAGCCAGGCCGGATCGACCGAGGGAGAGGTGCGCTGGAAGGCGGGAAAACTCGAAGGGAGGAGGCGCCTGTTTCCTCTGGTCAGGATTGAATCCGGGAGACTGAAAGGGGCGGCGGTGGCGGGGATGCGGAAATGGCTTCTGACGTGCTAGGGAAACCTTGTGTGTAGCTGGTCCTGGTGAGCCCCTTCCTCTCAAACCTGGGAATTTCTCCGGTAGGAAAACAGCCTCGTCCCTTTTCTTGGTAGCTTTCTTTCATGCGCGGCTCAGGCTCCTTTGGGCGGCCGAACCAGGAAGGGAGAAAGGAAGGAAGGAAAAGCTGAAGGTGTTGAAGGAGCATCTCTCCCCACGTTTTCTGGCGTTTGGCGATTTATTGTCTGCATAAAATTCCTCTCTTTTTTGACTGGAGGAAATATTTAGCGATGGATCAGAGGACGTAGGTAGGGGATCTCCGGAGAATAAGCTGAATTAATGATTTCCGTTGGTCTTGCCGGTGATGGTTAAGAGAACAGGGATTTCTTATCAAAATTGGCCTTTTCACGTCGACTTTTTCAGGATGCAGATTAGCAAGAAAGGAAAATTAAGGCCTGACTGACCCTTCTGGAGGGTGCTATTTCATCTATTTGTATCATGTCAGGCTGCTTTTACTCTTAAAGCTTATTATTCACTTATTAATCGCTGTGGAGTTTAGCAAAATCGGGAAAAATGAAGCAGCCAAGACTGAAGAATTGAAGCATCAAGTAAAAAGTAGCTTTCTCATGCTGGGCTTCAGCCAGGGAGAGTGAGACCCTTCACTTTATAAGGCTTGGCCTCTTTTAGGTTAATTTCTGCTATGTTGATTTAATTGTAATTTCTTTGATTGTTTTGAGCTGCCTAGAGTAATTGCAAGTTGGGCGGTATACAAGTTTAGTTGATAATAGGAATAATTAGAAATGTAGGAAGAGAATTGATCTCCCCTGCCGGCTTCCCCATCGACTTTCTCCCTACAAGCATCCCCCAAGCCAAGTGAATAAGCAGACCAGCAGGACGTCCTAAGTTGCTCTCTCACTGCTCTTTTGCTCACCCGTGGCCATTCGGGTTGATTGGTCAAGTTAGGTCAATATCACTGAGATGATGACACAACAGTGTTCAGGTTGTCTAGTATGTTCCTAAAACATTGTTTTGTAGGCCACTGTTTTGGGTGCACTCTGGAAGAATGTGTGGACGGACAGCTGTTACTCTGGGAGCAGACCGTATCCGCCGTGCCTGCGCTTATCACAATAATCGAGGAGAAAGAAAGTATCCTGAATGGCAAAATGCTGACAAATACAGCCCCTCGTTCAATAAGAGCCCACAATCTAACAGTCCTGTGCTTCTCTCCCGGCAACATTTTGAGAAGGTGAATTACTTCAATTGACTTATGTAACATAATCTTTTAAAAAGTACAGATAATCCTTGACTTGCAATGTTCTTTTTAGTGATCACCTAAATTACGATGGCACTGAAAAAGATGGCTTACAACTAGTCCTCATATTTATGACCCTTATAGCATCCTTCTGGCCATATGATCAAAATCCAGGCACATCTGCCTCAGCTGTAGCCTCCAGGGGCTATATAATTGCCGTTTGCGACCTCCCCAGTTGGCTTCCTACAAGCAAAGTCAAGAGAGGACTTCACTTAACAACAGCAGTGACTTGCATAATAACCATGGCAAAAAATATGTCATAAAATTGAGTACAACTCACTTAACACCCACCTTGCTTAGCAATGGAAATTCTGGTCCCACCTGTGGTCATAAATCAAAGACTACTTGAAACTGTTAGCTGCATTTAGTTTCTATTCTCAGACATTTTTACATTCATCTTACATGCTAGTTAAAGCTGATTTTTTATTAAAAAATAATCACAAGCATATTTTGTCTGCTTTGTGGCATTTTGTAGAACTTTAGTTTTCTGTTATAGAAGCTACTTATAATTAATACTACATCTGTGATCTCAAGAGAAGCATTTTTAAAAAAAATATCAAATTAGACTTTTTAAACATTTTAGCCATGTTTTATTTGGGATATTAATGCTTATGATACCTTCCCTGAAGCTCTGAAAATAAAGCATGACAGTTTTCAAAGTATCTTTTATTTGCCTCCTATATCACTAAAATAGAACTTCCTGTATCACTAATATAGAGCACTAAAATTGCCCTTCAAAATATTACTGGATTTCAAAAGACTAATCAGCCTGGTCAATATTACTAATTATCAAGGATAATGGAATCCATCTATTTGGAGATCCATATATTATCTTCCCTTATGATAAAATAAGGTCTTATTATTGCAATAGAATATAATGTGAGGTTATGCTAATTCACAATGTGTATTCTTTTGGATATACAATTGTGAAGCTACAAAAAAAATAGATTTAGCGACATAAAATGACTTCTGGTTGAATATTAGCAAGAAAATCCTAATAAAAACATAAGAGCAGTTAAATGACTTCGGGAATGCTGGGCTTCCCATTAGTGCGGGTATTTGAAAATTTGAAAAATGCTTCAGAAAAGTTTTGACTTCAGGCCTACTTGGCAATTTTAAAGTTGTAAGAAATTTATTTTCAGGTTGTTTAAGAAAACAATAAGAAAATATTTTGAGTATCTCCCTCATATCAATGAGCTCCAATATATGGGTTGCTTGTAGGTATTGAGATGACTATGCCACAATTGGAATTATGCTCATTTACCCTCATTCCTGGATGAGTTCAAGCAAAGATTAGGCAGCTAACTGCTAGCAAAATTTGCAGGAGTTGATTTTGATTACGTATGTCAGGTTTTCCGATTCTATGAACGGCATATTCTTCTCATTAAATAAATCATAGTTTTAAAATTTGTGATAATTGTGAAAGTTAACTAAAATCTACATTTCAAAAAGTTGTTAATTACACTGTTATTCTGTAGAAATAATCAACCAGCAACTGCATATTGTATAAACAGCATCTCAGGTAGTTCTTCCCCAATGCCATATACCTGTATATATTTCTTGACTGGTAGACCTTGGATACATAAAATTATGTCTTGCACCAAAGAAATTGTGTTTGTGTGTGTAACTTTTTATTGAATTTAGTTGATAAAAGTGTCCCTTAAAAATAAAGGAACAGTAGCCTCTCCCTTTAGAAATCATTAATAGTCATCTATGAAGGAATTTTTTGGTATACATATGAACTTTTTAGTATCACATGTCTGATAAAATGCCACAGGTTTATTTGAGGGGATTCCACCATAACATTTTCCATGGTTTTCAAATATGCATGCTATTGTATTACCTGTTAGATAAACACATACAAGTAAGAGGGGAGATAATAATAGTTTCCATTTTATAATAATGCTAACTGCTCAAGCTTTAAAAAAATACTTAAATAGGACATGATTTTATTTGTAGTTCAAAATAAAGATGTTTGGCACTTCAAAATAATGAAGTATCAGATCACTGCACACACACAAACTCGAAACTTCATATAAGCATAACGCTTTTTCAAACTATTTCCTCTTTCATTTTCCTGCCTAAATGCTCAGGATAACAATTTACAAAAGTTTTAGCAGTTCATAAAATCACAAAGAAAGAAAAATACATGAAGTTAATTACACATATTCTTCTCTTCCACTACAAAAAAAGTTACTAATTACTTTTGCTACTTCATTGGCAATTTATCTGGTATGCTGTGCTTCCCAGGGAACAACATATAGTAAAGAATATTTTAACCTTGGGGAAAAAGAGATACACAGGATTAGCAAGCAAGAGGGCAAGACAAAAGGGGAATGGGCATACTTGAAGGGAAATAGATAACCAAATATTGTATTGATAATTTTAAACATTTGGAATGCTATGATGGCAAAAGCACCAAACTGATCCACAAGACATAGTGAATATGGAATTAGAAATAAAGTTTTTAATGTTTTTTAATATTTAAAGTTACGTATTGTAAGATTTCAGACAAACAAAAGTGTTGTTTTTAAAACCTTAATTTAGAAGTTATGCACAGGATAGCACTGAAAGTGAATTTGATTAAATAGACAAAAAGAAGAAATGAAACCCGTTTGTCTGTTTCAATTGTTTTAACTGAGAAAGATGCAAGAAATGACTCATTTAGGTAGTGGAAGATATTTATAAATGCATTGTGTTTACTTGAACGATTCTTCTAATTTGCATTTGCATTGTCTGGGCTTAAACTAAGCAAATAGAGCCTAATTAGAACTTGGATAACAGAGCCTGAAAATTCCATGTGTGTTTGTTAAACTTGGAAATTGAAAAAAAAGCAAAACCCCAAAGCAGTATTAACCCGCTTCTATATTGTTGCCAAGAAAACTACACAGACATGTCTCTGAAATCTCCAGAAAAGCAGCTCATCTTGAAGAGACTTATCTTTTTGGGGGTGGGGTGGGGGGGAGGTTGTTTTGAAATATATGACTCCGTGTGCACTCCAATATATCCCTAAAATTCCTATATAAAATAATTGAGCTTTTCTAATAATACTAACCACAACTTGGCTTCCTCCTTTCACATTTTTACCACGTTTACATTTTGCCACTCATTCTTTCAGTAACTGAGCTGACTAGCTGATTATTTCTCCCCCGCCCCCTCCAGACACACACAAAAGTAGGGCTACCATATCTAGTCTGCAAAACCCCCCAAAAGATTACTGGATGATAGCAAAGAAGTTTTGGTAAACATGTCTGAAGTTTTGCAGCCTATCAGACCTAATGAAGACGAAACTCAAACTACTTCTAAGATATAAATACACAGAAGCATATATTCTTCATTGGGGAGAAATTGGCCAGTTGCATATTCAAGCAAGGTGCACATCTTAGCTGAATCTGAGCATGCAGCCTCTTTGTTGAAATAACTTCTTTTAAATCTGATTTTTCTCTTCTAAGAAACTGATTAAGGTTTTTGCTGTTTAAAACATATCAACATTCACTGTACCAGGAATGATACACAGAGGAGTATCTGTGGAACAGAGTCTTGGAACAGAGTCTTTGCTTGTAGAGTAATCTTAATTCTATGCATGCTTCTTCACAATATTTCCTTTTTTGATTTATGAAAGAATGCCAATTCTTCTGAGCGTATCCTTGTAGCCATGCGTTGGGGGCTAGTTCCATCTTGGTTCAAGGAAGCTGACCCATCTAAAATGCAGTACAACACTTCCAATTGTCGGAGTGATACCATGATGGAGAAATTCTGCTATAAGGTTAGTTGTATAATCTTCAGTTTGGGGAAAAAAAAGTCTTTGTTTCCTTCCAACCATGACCTTCATGACTTTTGGGTTACACATGAAAACGGAAGCTTTGTTTAAAATACCGACATCAAGATGCTGCAAACTACATCTTATTTTTTTTCTGAAACAGGAAAAGCCCTGTTAGTGACACCATTTCAAATGCTTGTCAGAACGAAATATTGACTTTTGAAACAGGCCCGTAGAACTGCAGTAGTGTAAATAAGGCCATTAAAAATTAATATAAAGGCTGAATATAATTACTTTTTTCTATAATGTTCTTTCCTTTTTTGAAGGATCAGATTATTATATAACAAATAGAATCAGGAAATTATATACACATGAATAAGGAAGTACAATAGATATCCTCCTAAAAAGTTAATTCTCTTTGTTCTTCTTATAGCAGCAAGTAACCTCAAGTTTGATCTATAATGACTTGGTGGCTTAACCATGATTGTGGGAAACTGCTTTTAGTTATTTCTGGTCTAGTTTCTCCAATTGCAACTTCCTTCCTGTTTTTCCCAGACCTCCAAGAATTAGAGTAGGGGGATATAAAAACAAGAACTGCTGCAATATAATGTAAACAATGAGGTTCTTAAGCCTTACTTGCTGTTTTATTGGTATAATTCTGGAACATGAATAAAATCTTCAGAAATTCTCATTAGGGAGCAAAATCCCATCAAGAACAAACTAAAGTAGAAAATACCTTAATCCTTAGATCATTTATGAATCTGGAAACTGATTTCATAATTCAAATTTGAAGTGTAAGTTATTGAATAAACTGGGAGCCCCAGTATAATCATGTTTACTATAATCATGTTTACTCTGGAACCTCCTGTTCTTGTTTGTAAAAGAAGCCTTATTCTAAAAAGGAAGTTGGTATTCTGAAAAATTCTGGCTTGGCATTCTGACTAAATATGGCCTTCAAGATTTATTAACCACAAATTTGTCTGAAGAATAAGGAGGCCACCAGTGTTCATGCTGCAGAAAATTCAGAACAGTTAGCAAAGATTAGCTAATGGGGAGGGTTTCCATTCTTCATTTCAAACAAATCACTCCTGTATTTTAAGTGATCCAGTGTTTATTTTCAGACAACACTGAATGTTATATGGAGGTCAAAATAGTGTAAAATTACAACTTTGCACCAATCTGGATTTGAAGGAGAGATGGCAAGGTGAAGCACGGGTGTGCACTTATGTAGCCCCTCTTTAAATCATATGTAGTATTCCTTGTCCTGGGATTGAATGGCAGTGGTTAAGCAAACACAGGAACTCTGCAGCAATTATTGACAGATGCTATATGAGTGTTTCTGTGCACTTCAAACTACCTTTCACACTTTGAATTGCTGCACGGTCCTAATGAAAACTTAGAGTGAACTCATATTCTTGCTTGGAATATGATTTTGCAGCCTGCCCTCTGAGGTAGTATTATAATCTACCAGCAATAATGCATTTGAAGTTAGCATTGAATAGATTGCTATTAATCCTGCTCCTCTCTTTTTCTAAAGGTACCTCTTTCAAAAGGTAAACGCTGTGTGGTGCTGGCCGATGGCTACTATGAATGGCGACAACATAATGGACAAAAGCAGCCATATTTCATTTACTTTGCCCAAACTGAGCAGGAAATGGTATAACATCAGGGGTGGGATTCAAATTTTTTAACAACCGGTTCTGTGGGTGTGGCTAAGTTGGTGGGCGTGGCTTGGTCATGTGACTGGCTGGGTGTGGCCAACTCAATATCACTCATATCAAGGCACGCATCTCCTCACCTGACCTCATGACTGTGGGGATGCTGCAACAGTTGTAAGTGTGAAAAATGGTCATAAGCAGGGGTGGGATTCAAATTTTTAAAGAACCAGTTCTATGGGCATGGCTTAGTTGGTGGGCATGGCTTGGTGGTCATGTGACTGGCTGGGCGTGGCCAACTCAATATCACTCACATTGAGGCACGCATCTCCTCACCTGGCCTCTCATGACTGGGGATGCTGCAACAGTCATAAATGTGAAAAATGGTCATAAGTCACTTTTTTCAGTGCCATTGTAACTTTGAATGGTCACTCCACACAAGCAAAGTACCAGTAAAGGAGGGGAAAAAAACTCCAGAGAAGTTCCAGAGACAGGAAGTCTAGTCCCGCCAAGAATGTAATAAGGGTTAACGGAGAGGCAATTTCTGTAAGCAACACCAGAATGTTTCCTTCCTGTCTTCCTTACAGGATTAGACCAGTAATTTCTTCTAACAACCAGTTCTCCGAACAGCTTAGAATGTTAACAACCAATTCTAGTGAATAGGTGCGAACTGGTAGAATCCCACCCCTGTATAACATTGCAATCGTTGTATTTCATGCTGATGTTTCATTGATATTTTTAAAGCTATCCCATAAAAGTTTATTGATACTACTATTAATATTAGATTTGTCAGACAGAAATGGGTGGAATTGTGCCTTTACACTTTCCCCTTTTTGTCATAGCTGCTGCAACTCAGGTTGAGGATATGATCCTGCTTGATTAAAGGCTGTTGAGTTGAGGAAATGTGGTATTCCTAAGCATACATTCTACTTCTTGAAACACTTGTTTTGAGTCTCTGGGCATTTAACAATTCCAAATGGTAAACTCTGCAATAACCTGGCAGTTATACACAGATCAGCTTGACATTTCCAGGACAGTTCAGAATAATGAATAAAATGTATTGCTAAAAATATCATAGCATGAATAAAAGTACACAATGTGAGAAACATCTGGAATGACAAACTGGGCTTTTTGCCTAGCATCTAAAGTAACAGACACAAAGCAAAATTCCCTGAGGAATGGTGGTAATACAACTAAAATCGAGCTGTGGTGGCACAGTTGTTAGAATGTACTGTAGTATTGCAAGCTAACTCTGCCTGCTGCCAGGAATTCTATCCTGACTATCTCAAGGTTGATTCAGCCTTCCATTCTTCTGAGGTTGGTAAAATGAGGACCCAGATTGTTGGGGACAATATGCTGACTCTGTAAACTGCTGAGAGGGCTGTAAAACACTATGAAGCGGTATATAAGTCTAAGTGCAATTGCTAAAATTATTAACATTCCTTCATATCACAAGGTAAACTTGGAAACAGGGTAAGTTGTAAAAAACTTATCAGATAAAGTTATTTGAATTGTATTCTGAAATCAGTAATGGAGATAAATTCCCGGCACCAGAGTTTAGCTACTGAAAATTGATAATTATTTGTGAAGACATTTTTTAATGATATTCCATTTTTGAGCAGTCTTCAAGGACAACATATGATATTATGTAGTAATCTAAGAAATTATCAGAGCCTGGACTGGCAAACAGATTTAATTTGGGTAGTTCACAAGCTTAATTTATAAAACGCATTCAGTGTTAGAAGAACCATTTTATTCTCTAGTGTCAAACCTCAGTGGTAGGCTGCAAATTTTAACAACCGGTTCTCTGGCTGGGTAGGCATGGCCAGTTGGTCATGTGACTGGGTGGCTGACATTACTCATCATACCCAGCCCTGTGTCCCACCCACTCACCTCAGAAGGTAGGATTCAGCCGGTTGGAGTTAATCCCACCACTGGCTGGCCCCGCCTCTGCCCATTTTTTGCCTGTTTGGGGGCCATTTTCAGGGTGTTTTTGGCCCAAAATATGGCCTGAAAATGTGTTCTGACCCATGCCCCTTTTCAACAAATCAAAGACAATCCAAAAGGAACAGAAAACTTGTAATGCTTTTACAAAATAATTAGCTGTGATGAGCACATCTTGCCAAACAGTGCAAGACTTGCCAAAAGATAACAGACAAGAAATAATTTGCAAAATAAGAATCTTCAAATGCAAACTCAGGATACTTTAATGTCCACGAGGCTTGAGTTTCAAAATGTCTTTGCCTCCTGCAAAGAAGGTTAGTTTCACAGCTGGCTTTTATCTTCTTGAAGGAGGGGCCATTACCTTGCAGCCTTACTCCCGAGTCGCCCGTGCTGTTGTAATTGTTCTTTCCTCCAAGCAATCCTGCGCTCATGTGCACTTGGCACAGGCTCCTTGGAAACCTCCCCATCACTGCTTCCAGCCCCCACAATCTCTGAAGGCAGCAGTCCACTCACTAATGGTCCTGGCCCCTCATCTGAGTCCTTGCTCTCTTCAGCCATTGTGCACCTGCTGCCGGCTAGCCACAACAAAATGGCTCAAAACTCAGGCTGTTTTGGGGCTGTTTTTAAGGCTGTTTTTGGTCCAGAAAATGGCCAAATATGGCCTGAAAAACAGCCTGAAAGCAGCCCCCAAACTGGCCAATTTTCAGGCCGTTTTCTGGGCTGTTTTTTCAGGCATTTTTCAGGCCCCAAATGGCCTGAAAACAGCCCCCAAAAGGCCCCCAAACCAGGGTTAAAAATGGGTGGGGGCGGGGCCAGCCAGTGGTGAGATTTGCCGGTTTGCCGAATGTGCTTAATCTTAACTAACGGTTTGCTACAACTGGGGCAAACCGGCAACAGCCCACCTCTGCAAAACCTTGAGTTATGAGTTAAATTTTAGTTATTGTGATATAATTATTCAGCAGTAATAGATTCAATAATAATTTTGATTTTCCGTGCAATTATAATAATGTTAGTTAAGGACTTATAAACAGAAGTTTATTTACAAGAAGAGGAGGATAAGAGATCTAAAGTTATGGTATTTGTTTGCTTAAAGGTGACCCTGTTGCTGTTAAGGTTTTTTTTTTTTTAATATATTGTCTTTTCATTTGCAGTTCACCAAACCAGAAATGGAAGATGAGGTTGAAGATTCAAAAGGGAGAAAGCTGCTTACCATGGCTGGAATTTTTGATTGCTGGGAGCCCCAGAATGGAGCAGAACCATTGTACAGTTATAGTATCATCACAGTAAATGCATCTGAATGTGTAAGATTCATCCATCACAGGCAAGAGAGACTTCACTAGAGAGCGCTTCTAGAACATACTGAAAAATGGAGAAACTGAAAAATAATGTTTCATAAATTGCATTTCCTCTTATCTAACTTTTTTGATTTACCAGATAGTGTGCTTATTTTTAAATATAAAAATCAGAATATGAAATGTTATATTCCTATAAGATGGAGGCTTCTTATAAGATGCTTATATGAAATAGGCATCTATGGTGATTTCTGTATGATTTATTCAAATAGCAGTAATAATTAAGCTTTGTTCCAAACCTTCTACGTTGTTTGGTCAGTTTCATCCTTGGAGAAATTGACTGAACTTTTAATGAAGGTGTTGCAATACAGACCTTTTTTTTTTTTTGCTGATTTGATTTTTAGAATCTGGTTCATACTGATGTTTGGCCTTGTTTTCTATTATTAGATTGTGGACTGGTTCAGATGTTTCTTTCCATTATTAAAATCTATGTCTTTCTACTTGTCTAGAATGCCAGCTATTCTGGATGGGGACGAAGCAGTTAAAAAATGGCTTGACTTTGCAGAAATACCTGCAGAAGCAGCACTTCACCTTATCCAGCCAACAGAAAACATTGCCTTCCATCCTGTGTCAACAATAGTGAACAATTCCCGAAATAATTCATCAGAATGCATTTTACCTATTGAATTGGATCCCAAAAAAGTATGTTTGCATTTCCTTTTCTAGGGTATATTTCCAACCTCCTGATCGATTTTACAGCCCTCTAATTTTATAGCGGTCTCCCCTCCAGATACTAAGCATGGCTGACCCTGCTTAGATTCTGAGATTGACTAAGCTACTGCTACCTGCTTTTAGGCTAAGCATCTCCAGGTAAAAGTAAATGTTGCATTGATGTTACTGATTGATTTGGACAGCATGAAATTCACAGATGGAGGTGCATGTACATCTTCTGCATCTGTATTCTCTTTAGCGGTTCATAGGTAAAATTATTATTTCAGGGTCTCCATCAAACTTTCCGGGATAAATTGGGCTGTGTGATCCTGATAAACTGAAATTGCCCTCTTCAGATATAAATTTGTTTTTTGGGGTGGAGTGGTTTGGGAATCTTTTTTCTTTTCAATGCAGGTAACCCTTGACTTGTAACCAGGGGTGGGCTTCACAAATTTTAGCAAAGGGTTCTCTGCCCGGTTGCTGGGTGGGCGTGGCCATGGTGGGCGTGGCCTATTTAGCCTCTTGCACCACGGTGGAGGGGTGTTTTTGCCCTCCCTGGGCTCCAGATGCTTTCCTTGAGCCTCCGGGAGGGTGAAAATGGCCTCCCTGGGTTCCAGAGGTTGTCTGGAAGCCAGAAATGGGCACATTTCCGGGCTTCCCAAACTTCCGGGAGGCCCATTTTTCACCCATCCTGAGCCTCCGCATGCCCCCTGCACCTACCTGCATCCAAAATGGGCCATGTGGGGACTCTTGGGAGGGGAGGGGTGGGTGCGACCAGCCAGGAGTGGGATTTGGGGGGTTCTGTGAACTGCACAGCATCTTAGCTAGGGGTTCTCCCAAACCCCCAGTAGCCCACCCCTGCTTGTAACCATCCGTTTAGTGACTGCTCAAAGTTATAACGGCACTGAAAAAAGTGGCTGATGACTGTTTTTCACATTTATGACGATTGTAGTATCCCCGTGGTCACATGATCAATATTTGGACACTTAGCAACTGGCTCATATTTATGACAGTTGCAGTATCCCAGGGTCACCTTTGCGACCTTCCCAACAAACAAAGCCAATGGGGAAGCCAGATTCACTTTACAGCTGTGTCACTAACACTGTGATTCATTGAACAACCGTGGCAAGAAAGGGGGAAAAGCCCACTTAACAACTGTCTCACTTAGCAATGGAAATGCTGGGCTCAATTGTGGTTGTATTTTTCATTTCACCGAGTTGGAATTGTGACACGAAACAAATATCAAAATTCACTAGACTGGATGGACTAGTCATAAAATCTTGCTTTGTATCTTCCAGAATACTAAGATTAATGCAAGCAGCACAGTAATGCTGAACTGGTTAAAAAACAAAGGCCCCAAGAAAAGTGATAAGGATGAAGACAATTTACCAAAGTGGTCCAGCCAGTTCATCCAGACATCACCGTGTAAAAAAACTAGCATGGACTTAATGCACCAGTGGCTCAAAAAAGATGGAGAACCTTCTGCAAAGCAAATGAAAAAACAGTGATAATTTGGTTCTATTGCTTATTACCAAAGAGGGTCTTATGTGTTGAGTTATTGCAATATTTAGATCTCCTGATTTAGATTGTAATACAGGTATAATCTATAAATAAATTATAAGACTTCAGATATGCTTCCTTCCTGATGCCGAGTAGATGGGCTTTGACATTAAACACTTAGTTTCTTTTATCTGAAACAAATAGGATATATAGATGTTAAGTGCAGCATTGACTTGACCTTGCCAATCTTGAAAAAGGCAATAGCTTTCCAAAATATATAAGTGAGGGATTTAATGTTTTTTTTTCTCCTCCAAGGACAGAAGCAGAGATTTGGTTTGTCATGGTTACCATCATTGTATTCATTCAATTCACTTTGTGGATTGCTTTGTCTTTTATGGAAAAAAATAGGCCACTGAAAATAGGCCTGCTGAAGATTTGTTGCTGCACAGTGAGAATGATAATTTATTTTGGTCTGAAACCAGTACAAATTTTTGCCCTTTTTCATCTGCTTTGGAAGATGTGGAATATCATCTGCAATCAATATACAAATATAATTCTTACTGGTTAAGAAGCTATTCCAAGAGGATGTTGTTTCACTAATTTGGATTTACTATACGTTCCAAACCTTTGATAGTATTGTTCAACAAATTCATCAAAGCTATAATGATCAGGCCACCACTGCAGTCAGTATTTTGAATAGGTGGTAAGAGAATAGCAAGGAAGAAAGAAAGAACTTTAGTCTTGTTTTTTGGGGAAAGTGAAGATAGGTAGTTGGCTGTATTAAGGATTGCAGCAGCGAATCCACATCTAACAGCCTGGGCATATGCCAAAGCCT